TGTCATATGGAGAGCAGATTCACCCTAGGAGTGGACTGAAAACCAAAGAGGTAAGCTCCCCTCCCCCATAATTAACCACACCACAGGCTATTTCAGTTACCATGCCAAAGAACAGTAACACACCACACAAATCTAATGCAGCTGGACACACCATTCCAAGAAATTAATGCTTTGCACGATGGGCATGTGTAGGGCAGACCACAACATTAAAACTTTTCAAATGTTTGCAAGCTAGCTATGTAGGTGTTCCAAGTACTGCTTTTCAGTGACCTATATGACCACCATCAATTTTAAAATATCTTTGAAGTTTGGATGGCTATAACAAAGTAAATTCAGTGGCATATGCCTTTGCATGGAACAGAAAGTACAAGAGGGGTACTTTGGCTATGTCTACCTTTGTTTTACTAGAGGCATCTCTCTTCTAAAAAAATACATATATCACATTTTGATCAAAGGGATCAACTTTAAATAGAATTCTGGGAGATTGAATGGATAGAATTCATTTTATGTGTCCATTTTTATTGCACTAAGAATATAAAGTATTTTTTCCCACAAAAATGAAAGAAAAGGAGCACAGATGGTAAAGGGTTTCTCCAGTTGGTTTTCTTCAGACTTTCCACATGGTTAATATCTCTTCATACCCCCGTTTCTGCTAACAGCAGGGTGCTGCTATATCTGCAGCCAGCTTGGACAATTTCAAGATGACTGTACTAAACATGTTTTATTTTGAAATCTCAAGACATTGTCAGTCTCATTCACAAGCCAGCAAAACTTTGTGTTTTATAGATTAAATGTCAGAAGAGAGGACACTGAGTTTGGTAAACTCAGTTGGATACTGGAAGGTTTAAACATAAGTTTCATTTCAGTTTCAAAGTGCCTCCCGGAGCATTCACAGAGAATATCACAAATCTTTCTTCAGCAGAAGATTTGGCACAAAAGTTGTTTTCTGGACTGTAGAATAAATGTTCTGCCAGATTTCTCATAAAGTCTCAACTCTGCATCCATGTTTACAAAGTTCTATGTAGTTGTGACCCTTTTGTTTTATTTTATGAGTGAAAATAATAACTGCTTCAGACATTTTTTTTATCAACAAGAAAGTCAGGATCACAATCAGTGTCTATTCCAGCATGTCTATGGAAGAGGTCTTTTTATTTCCATTTGAGAGTCACATTTGTTCAGGGCATTGGGTAGTGACCTTTCTACAATTCTCTTATTTTCTCCTCTCTCTGACATTCCCTTTCCCCTTGTTATGTAGTCTGATAGCCATATGAAATTAGGCCAAGGGCCACAAGCTTTCTATCTCTGGTCTATCCATTACAGTCTTATACAAGTATGCAACGTGAAAACACTTCACTAATTTGCAATACAAGTGCAATTCGATAAGTACAGAAAACTAACTAACCACATTGTTACTGTGCAGAAGTTTCTGCACTTTTAAATGTTTGCTTAAAAAAATGCAACACAGACCACCAGTTTTAGCTTTATAGTATTCTGTGGTTGCTGTTGCTTCACTCCTTAGTTATTGACTTGTTCTGTTACTCTGCAGTAAATACCTATTTGTCCATGTAATCCAAGTGTTTCATCACTAATTCCTAGTTCTTTATCCATGGAAGTAGATGGCTAAACTGCTCTTAGTCGCAAAAGCATATTCATACGGGCATTGTTTCAAAAAGTCAATAAAACATTTTATCTTTTCCTTAGATTTACATTTTTCTCTTAAGGAAAAAAATTGTTTCTTAAAAAAATAATTATTGACGCCTGGGAAGTTTTCTGCTGTGTGCTATTTCACACTTAAAAATCCAAATAAACCATAGACATCTACACATATAAATGACCTTGAAGCTTGTTCATGCCGTATCAAACTGAATCTCAGTAGTACTGGCATCTATATAAATTACAGAACTACAGTATAGAGCTATGTAAACAATCATTTCTATTAATGCAAGCTATTGTATGCCATTACTGTACCAATGTGGATTAAAAATATTTTAAAATATCTCAGAAAGCATCGCAATGAGTTTGATGTGGTTTTAGGGGCCAAATGACTGGCAGTCTTTCAACCAGAACACTGGTGAAAATGGCAACATAAAGAAGTGATGTACATTCTGAACTTCTGAAGTTGCCTTTAAAATCAAGCAAAACAAAGCTTATACAGTAGCACATAACACTTTGAAGATTCAGCATAATGGCATGGTGCACTGGTAACCATTCTTTAAAACAGAACTTCAGACATTAGCAAACCCACTCAGCTAAAGTGCTTCAATTGCTAGCACTACATAAATCACTTTAATGCATCTTCAAACACATCCCACAGCTTACTTTCCCTCCAAGTAAAATGATTTAACTGCATGCAAAATGTGGCACAGTTGGAAAAAACCAACAGTAATAGTCTTTGCATTTAACAATAAAATACCATTGGCTGTATGATCTCTTAACACAGCAATCCTAAACACACTTAATTTTTTTTAAAAATGGCTTTACTGAACTTATTTCTAAATTAATGTTTATATAAACATATTTAAGAGAGGGTGTAAGATGGGAAGAGCAATCCTAAGCCTCCCCAGTGACTGATCTGAGCAACATAGCCATTGCTGCATCTGAAGCCTTGCCAGGTCCTGCTGGTTGGGGGAGAGGAGCGTTACTTTTTCATTGCACTGACTCCAGGCTGGTGCAACGAAGAGGCCCAAATCAGGCCCTCACTTGGCAATGAATATTCATTGTGTGCTTAGTCACATTCAATATCCTGGCAAGCTAGCAACAGAAAACAACGATCCCAGATGGGATACCGACAAGGCACTCTAGACACTATACCATTGCCTCTCCAATCCTCTCCCACATTCTTCTGGCTGACTCCATGAGTACCCACAACTCCAACTGCTGACCAGTGCCCAGCCATATATATGCTTCTGGCCTATCTAGTCTAGACTCAGCCAATCACACTGTCCAACTGAAAATTCTCAACCTGCATCCACCAATCAAAATATGCATATCTTCTATCCAGGGCTGGGCTACCTATGAGGCAACTGCCTCAGGTAACAGAATCCACAGGGGCTGCAGATCCCTTGTTCCTGATGTAGATCTTCACTCTTTCCTTCTTCCCTGATGGGGATGGGGGATGCCACTTTATCGTTGCCTCAGGTGCCAAAATGTCTTGGGCCACTCCTGCTTCTATCTCCCTTCTGCATACTGAGAATTCTAACACCAACCCTTCTGCACACAGCTGTCAGTTAAGACAGTTAAGGCCCCAAGCAAGTTAAACTAACTTGCACTAGACCAGACAGAAAACTTCTCAGATCAAATACATTACAATGTGCAATGCAATACAAATGCCAGGACATGTTACACAATATCCATTAAAATGTTGTTCAAATAAGCAGGATTTCTTCCCAGATAGTAAGAGACATCATTAAATCATGACTTACTTCTTCTTCTCAGAAGTGAGCCATAAATCATATGAAAACTTCCCATCAATCCTCTCTACCTTGAATTCAATTGGTCTTTCTTGATTCAATTTATTTTACTTCAAGCACATCCATTACTTTCTCAAGGTGGCATCTTGGCAGCAATATGGCTAAGGAGGAAAGTTTGTTCTGCAGGTTTAACAGTACCAGTTTAGGAGCTTTTGGAACATTCTTGCACTAGGTCTGTGAATCTACATAAATTAGTGAGGGCATCCCTGTTGGAGGTTCATCAAAAGTTTTGCATTTGAAGGGAAAGTATTAGGAAGTTTATTTGTAGATATACTTAATACATGGCATTTGGACGTTAGAACAGATTATTTTTTCTTTCCAAATCCAGCATTCATTTCTAAATCTAACCTGCAATGTGGGACCTAGACTTCAGAGTTGAAAGCTAGATCAATAGAGTTTAAGCGCTGCATAAGCTACCATGACCCATCTTGAACAGAGATAACTTGGCTCATTGTTCTTCATATTCAGGAGTTCTGTAATGGGTTGTAGGTGGAGCTGCCTTTGACTAAGGTACTACTGGCCTAGCTATAGGGCACATATTTTTGTGGAGCTGTGCTGGATGCCTGTCTGTTTCAGGACATGATTCAAAGTTCTGGAACTTATCCACCAAGGCATAAGTGACTTGAGAACGGGTACCTAAAAGATCACCGCCTAACTTATGGGTCTGCCCAAATATTACTTTCCTTATCTGAATCCTTGCTTTGGGCCATCCCACCACCCAGCTAAGTAACTCCTAGCAGTACACAATCAGTGCTCTACAACTGGAAGCTATAAGTGGTAGAATTGCAATGGACTGATTCCACTGGACTGGAATTGCTGTGCTAACTTTCAGATCTCATGCACGTGCGTGTACATTAAATTGACGATGGAAGGCATGAGGAATGGGCAGTATGTCAGAAGTATGCGAGCCACTTTAAAACCGAGCCTGGCCCAAAAGTTCGCGTTCGACGAAAAATCACAAGCGGCCAAAAACCCGAATGGGCACCATCTGCCAGCGCCACAAGATGTCCTTCTAACATAACGAATCAAGAAGCAAACAGCACCGTCCGCTACAAACCAAATGGAAACACTTTTACCGCCCCAAGGCGCTTAAAGTTTTTCGAACGGATTAGGCATTTGTAATGTTTCGATGAGGGGACGTGGCCGGGTGTTCCGGATAAAATGGAGGGGGGCGAAGTTGGGAGGTTCTCCTATTTTGTCGTCTTCGTCGCAACCTCGGCGACGTTTCTTTCCTCAACCCGCCTGGCCCAGAACAGTCCCCGGACTGAGCGGCTCCCCCCGCCGCGGGGGTCTCCCTCGCCTCCCTCCTCCTCCTCTCAGGCGCGCCGAGGCCTTGCCGGCAACCAGAAGCCCCGAAGCCGGAGATGGTGGAGCGTCGCTTAGCAACCGCCCCTCCCGCTTCCAAACAGCGGAGGCAACCGCTGGAGCCGGAGCCGCCGGGCGCATGCTCCGTGGGGCCGGGCGGCGGGGTTGCGGCTCCGCTTCCCCTTCCGGCCGCCGCTTCGCTTGTGTCCACTAGCTCCTGTCAGTATGGCAGAAGGGAGGAGGAGAGAGCGGCGGAGGAGCCCACTCCTGTGGGCGGCAGGTAGTCGCCACGGAGGAGGGAGTGGGAAGTATATGGCGGGAGCGGAGGAGGGTCGGCAGCTGCTCCGGGAGCGGTCAGGGGGCGGGTGGGTATGAATGGAAGGCGGGGCAAGGGGTTGCTTAAGGGCCGAGGCTTCCCCTGCCTGCCTGGGAAGGGAAATGGCTGCGGGGGGGGGGGCTGCTGGGGAAGGCGAGGCCGAGGCGCAAATGTCTGGGGCGGGGCGCGTTTGGGGGGACCCCGTGGTGGCCACCTACTGCAGTTTTGGCGAAGGTCTGGGCCTCTTCTTGGCCAAGGGAGGAGTCTGAGGAAACGACGCCCACCCATTGGGACGCACAGAGGGGCAAGCGGCACATGGCACCTGCTGCCTGCTTGGCCATAGAATCAAGTGGCGGGGGTGTGTGTGTGACAATGGGCAGCTGCCATTCTCTCCAGCTTCTTCCCCATTTCGGTTTTTGTGGGAAGTACAGTAGGTGAGGACGAGAGGCAGCTGTGGCTCTGCCCGCCTGTGGTTTTTTTTTAAATCTTCCTCTCTCTGGGTGGGATGGCAAGGAGGATGGAGCCAGCAGGCCTGCCCATAAAGAGCAGGTGGGCTGGGAATGGCAACAGCTGATCCAGCAAGGCCTCCTCTTGCTTGCTGTCTTTTGTTTCTTGGCCAGAGGTGACATAGCGTTGAGGACTCTGGCTTTATTTCTTCACTGTAAAGAGGAAGGGGAAGATGTGCAAGAGGGGGAAGAGTTAGCAGTACTTTGCCACTCAGAGAGAGGGGGGGGGGGTGAACAAGCAAGCAGAGTTGTTCTTGCCTATATATGCATCTTGGTTTCTCAAGGAGACAGTGAGCGAGCAGGTAGAGCTTCCCAGGGAGAGAGGGCAATGGTCAAGTGATCATCAAATATCCTGAAACATTAAAACAGGTGGAACATGGTTTGGGGTCCATTAGAACTGGAGAGAAGTGAGACTTAGGTGGAAGCTAATTGTAGGGGTGTTGTGGAGGTGGGATAGACAAGATATGAACAGACATTAGTATGCATATGTGAGACCAAGATAAACTCTCTTTTTTTGGTAGTTGCAGCATTTATTTTGGTAGTTGATGCATCTTTCGTGGAAGACTTAGATGACTCGTAAGTATGCAGTGTTTTTATTGTAGATGATGACTTTAGACATTATTTGAATCCATATATCACATGTAGATGTTTTTCTGGTATTCATTGGCAGATCACTTCATGCAGCATGCTCTTCTTACACATGAGTATGTTGCAGAGTCCAAATGCATAAAAGTCAGTCACCTAGTCATGCACACATGGACCTTCTCTGTGGTAGGAAACACAAAAGAAAAATAAGAACCTATAATGTGTTCAAAAAGAAATGGGGTTGTAGTGGGGGTGAGCTACAGAGAGGAGCAGGGAGGCAAAGTCCCTTTGTGCAAGCAGAAATTCACTTGTTTGGTGTGAGATTCCATACATAATTTCTTGCCCACATTGCTGATATTTAAGAGGAGAAAACTAAACACAAATCAGATGCAAGAATGCTTCCTGGCACCTGACTGCCCTTGTGGATCCTGCCACCCAATGCTGTTTCCTCGCCTTGCCTCTAGAGTGGGTCCACTATTTTTTAAAAAAAATCACTTTGCTAGCAGCTGTGAAGCATGTTGCAATCTCCAGTGACACAGCAACAAACTGTCAGAAAAGTGCACACAATGTGAATGTCAAATTGGGTTGGTATTGCCCTTTCAGCAGTCTACCTCCACCAGCTGCTTGGTGCCAATAAAGCTCATCAGAAATATCTCATCTCTTAGACACTTAGTTAAGCTGCTGACCCAACTTTCAGACTTGCAGAACAGTCTGGGCTCAGATACTGGCTTCATCAAAATTGTTTCTCTGTCTGGTTTTGAGTTACAGGCATCTAAATAGCCATGTTCCCTCTATTATTATTATTATTATTTATTAAATTTGTATACTGCCCTTCATCTGAAGATCACAGGGCAGTTCACAACATAAAAATAAAAAAATGAGAACACCAAATAATCAAACAAAAACAAACACAAACCAATAGCCGCCATCCCCAGCCCCCAAAACACATAAGCATTTCAGATCAGGGCTGTGAAGCAGGGGAATGGAATTTATAGCTTTTCTTTTTCCCATTTTCCCTTTAAAAATTGCCACCCCAAATACTGCATGTTATAGTATTTGTTGCTTGCAACTGCTTTTACAAGGGGGTGAGTGTGGGTGTGGGCACACAGGATACTAGTTTCCTTATCTTGCCTAGTTTGTCTGTAATTTAAATATAGAATCATAGAATCTTAGAGTTGAAAGGGACCCAAAGGGTCATCTAGTCCAACTCCCTGCTATTCAGGAATCTCAGCTAAAGCATCCATGACAGATGGCCATCTAACCTCTGTTTAAAAACCTCCAAGGAAGGAGAGTCCACCTCTCGTGGGAGTCTGTTCCACTGCTGAACAGCTCTTACTGTCAGAATTTTTTTCTAAATGTTTAGTCGGAATCTCCTTTCTTGCAACTTGAAGCCATTGGTCCTTTCATCCAGAGCAGGAGAAATCAAGCATGCTCCCTCCTCCATGTGACAGCCCTTCATATATTTGAAGATGGCTATCATATCTCCTCTCAGTCTCCTCTTTTCCAGGCTAAACATACCCAGCTCCTTCAAGCACTCATAAAGCTTACCTTCCAGACCCTTGATCATCTTGGTTGCCCTCCTCTGCACATGTTCCAGTTTGTTAACATCCTTCTTAAATTGTGGTGCCCAGAACTGGACACAGTATTCAAAGTGTCGTCTGACTAAGGCAGAATAGAGTGGTACTATTACTTCCCTTGATCTTGACACCATAATTCTGTTCATGCAGCCTAGAACAGGGTTAGCTTTTTTTTGCTGCATCATTTTATATTTGTTTGCTCTTACAGTAATGAAGACCCAACTGAAATACATTTGACTGGTTAAAAAAAATAACTTGTTCTTACAGTTGTAATTTTAAGTTTGATTTATATTGCATATATCTTGCAGATTGCATGCTGCACTTTTACATATTAAAACACTTTAGAAATGGAAGAAATGGACTGTAAAGTAACATAATAGACAAAGTAAATGTTGTGAGCTGTATATATAGACTATGCCAACAAAATAGTGATGTAGCGGTTGTTTACCTTTATAGATATCAGATAACTAATCTGTAATTTGTGTTGACAAATAATTAGTTGACCTTAATCGCATGCTCAGAAGTATCATATCCCTGGAACATGTTAACCCATTTTAGCTTTTTAAGCCTCTTACAAATTATTTAAGACCTATTAATTTTGGTGGTGGTTGCTACTATTACTAATAATAATAAGCATATTTTCTTGTATTGCTTAAGTGCATAGGTAAAAACATTTTTAGTGTGGTCGTCGATATTTGTGATCTATTGCTAGTCCACACAATAATGGTTATCATGAAGGATGGGAATGATTTATATTCTGTTAACAGCAAGGTATAAAAGAGTCTTCAGTAGTAAAAACAAGCTTTTCTCTTGCTTTTGTATTATTTTAATAAAATGCAAAATACTTGTCAAGCATATTTAATCAGTTATGCTTCTTTCTTAGGTTTAAAGAGAACCGTAAAGATGACATTTGGCTTGTAGATGTGAGTATAACAGCAAAAAAGCAAAACAAACAAACCCCACACCACAAAACTATTCAAAAACAAATTTTATCTCTGTTTTAAAAAAGCTTCTACATTCATGCTTATCTTAATTTCCACGGAAGAAAAAAATAAGTTATAAATACAATACAATACAATGATTTACCGTATTTTTCGCCCTATAGGACGCACTTTTCCCCCTCCAATAATGAAGGGGAAATGTGTGTGCGTCCTATGGGGCGAATGCAGGCTTTCGCTGAAGCCTGGAGAGCGAGAGGGGGGGGGGCGCACCGACCCTCTCGCTCTACAGGCTCGCGGACCTCTCCGCAAACAGCGGGAGCGCTCCCGCTGCTTGCGGAGAGGTGCCGGCATGCCAAAGCCTGCGCGCGCTGAGATCAGCGCGTCCAGGCTTCGCGGACCTCTCCGCAAACAGCGGGAGCGCTCCCGCTGCTTGCGGAGAGTTGCCTGCATGCCGAAGCCTGCGCACGCTGAGATCAGCGTGTCCAGGCTTCGCGGACCTTTCCGCAAGCAGCGGGAGCCAGCGCTGGGCTCCCACGGCTTGCAGAGAGCTGCCTGTTTGGGGGCTGGGGTCGGGGGAAGCTCGGTCCTCCCCTGCCCCAGCCCCGCGCCTGGGGGGGGGGAAATAATTTTTTCCCCTTCATTTCCCCCCCCAAAAACTAGGTGCGCCTTATGGGACGGTGCGTCCTATAGGGCGAAAAATACGGTATACTTATCAGGAATGGATTCTTATAATACATGAGGGTTTAATGTAGGTACTCGTTGCTGTGTGGCCCTAATAAAAAAGATTCCATTGTTGAAAAATCTGGAGTACAAATGTTAATTATGTTGATGGGCAGATAAACTCTTTGTAATGATATGATAACCCAAGAATTGCTTTGATTCAAGTTGATTGCATACAATTTTGCTTTGCATGTGTGTTGTATCATATATAAAAAATAGTAGTGAACAATATGCTACACTACTGCACATTGAAGTATTACCTGGACAGCACTGTTAATATGCAGCATTTTAAAGACATAGATACATGAAATTTTTGTTCGCTTTTATTTATTTTTTCAATTAGTGTAATTTTTGTTGAGTTTTTAATTTTCAGAATAAATGTCCTGTAACTGAATTGATACTCTACTATCTAAGCAGATACTGGAAGAATTCATTTTGTTGTAGAAGTGTAATGATGAGCAAACTCAAAATGTACTGCTAAATAAACAAATTTTGTGCACATTTGAGAAATGTGGTAGTTTCCATCTGTCCCCATGGGTGGTTTCATATACAAGTACATGTTTAATAGTTTCTCCAAAGACTTCACTGGCTATGCTTATTTTTGTGTGTGTATGTTCTCAGTTTTATGCACCATGGTGTGGCCATTGCAAGAAGTTGGAACCGGTGTGGAATGAAGTTGGTAAAGAGATGGGAAGCACTGGTTCACCAGTCAAAGTTGGGAAGATGGATGCAACTTCTTATTCTAGTAAGTGCTTTAGTTAGGTCTTCTGATCTGTGTTAGAATTTATACTCTTTGAAAGTAACATGAAAGCCAGTAAGTTAACCAAACACATATAAGCAAATTCAGTGTTGGTCCAAAGCTCAGTGGGGAAATTGGCATGGCCTCTTGGCCTCTATTCTTTCATGGAAGGATGCTCATCATCTGACAGCCTGTTCCTATAGAAATAGGATTATATATGCAACAGTTTGTATGTTATAAAATTGTCTGCTGCTGTTTGTTTGCCACTACAAGAAATGCCAGTAATACGTTTTTGAATATTGTAATTGTATTAATTAAAAATGCCCTTTTAAATGCTTGGTTATACTACTGTTTGTTTGTAGGCATTGCCTCTGAATTTGGAGTTCGAGGCTATCCAACAATTAAACTGTAAGTAGAATTTTGTGTCTTGTATATTAAAACTTTAGTGCTTTGTAGTATCATTAGTGTCTCTTGTGCAAAGTGTTCCATTCTGATGTATTGGACCATTATTTAAGTTTCTTCTTTGTTCACCACTCCTGATTCACCTAAAAGCTAACTGATGTTGTGAGGAACATCATCGCTGCTTAGCTGGCCCTCCCACTGCAGTAAGGCTATTGAAATACGTTGCTACTGTGTGTTCATAAAATGTGAGCCCTGGGTTGAACTTTTTCCAGTTAACTGTATGTGCTAAAAGTATTGCAGCACCTGAAATATTCATCCAAGATGTTGACTATTATTTTACGTAGGTTAAAGGGTGATTTGGCATACAACTATAGAGGACCCAGGACCAAAGATGATATTGTTGAGTTTGCAAACAGAGTAGCAGGGTGAGTATTTATAGCGTCAGTTTTGTATGGCGTGTGGAGTGAAGAGTATGTGGCAACAGTTGAATGTGGGTGACTTAGCCCATGGTACACTATACAAGCAAAGTGGCTTAATGTCATAAGACAATTGATTACAGTATGCTGAGGTAGCTCATAATTCTATTTCATAATACATAAATATATGTATATAGAAAGAGTGATTCTGTGAAGTGACATCTTGACTTCTAAAATCCATCCAAGTAATGTGTTTAATCTAGCATGCATGCATGAGCCCTTGAATCTGTTGCAGGTATCATATTCCACCACCCCCATGCCTCTCTAAACCGTCCTTTAGTTTTCTTTACAAAGCCTTTAGATTTCAGTCTTACAAACTGTTCACATAGCTCAGCCCATGAATATCCTGGTCTTGACAGGCAGTATGATTACATGAAAAGATTTGTCACCCAAAGCCGCTTGTTTAATAAGTTATTAATATATGTGCTTGTCATTCCAAGGTCAGTTCCTTCTTATTCTGTCAGAAGGAGGGGGGAGATCTTTGTTGTTGTTCCAGAAAATTTGTGAGATAGAAAAATTAAGCTACAGTTGTTGATTAACTGTCAGTTAATAACAGCACTTTTTCCAGACATCTCTTCTGTGCCTTAGTCGGTAGTAACCTATAGTTGTCACAAGACGTTAAGATAAAATTTAGCCACCTTATTTCACCTTATTGTGATGTCTGCATGGAACTATTTGGACTTTAGCAGCTATTTCTTTAACAAATGCCTGTGATCAATTCCTAGAAGTCTTACAACATCTTGAAAAACATAGCTATCATAGTAGGAAACGCTGGGAGAAAATACATCTAACAACATGATGAAATTACACTACAGTTCTTAATTAAGTCTTTAAAATGTTTCTATATTGACTTCAGTAGTGATGCAACTATAGAACACAGTTGCTGAACTGGAAAGCTGGGATAGGATGATGTAACATTTCCTAATAATTATTAGATGCTAGATGCTAGCAGGATTTCCCTTCCCCCATTTTAAAAAACAAGTCTTTATTTTGCTTGGTCAAGGCAAATGTTCACTAATGATTTTCATGTGTTCTCCTCAGTTTCTAAACACTTAGATAATTTCTTAGTGTTGTCATCTGATACTTGAAAGTGCATCCTTTTAAAAAATGAAAATAAAGGTTTTTGGTGGATAATGCCACTACATGAGGTTAGCACATTGTAGTTGATTCCCTACCTCCCACCCCAATGTCCACATATAGAAATATGTGTAAGTGTTGAAATATTTACAAGAGAAGACAAACTGGTGTGATTCAGCACTCCTGTATTGAGTTCTCATTGGTCTTAGATTTAAAGTTGTTTAAAATTATCAGTACAGTACTCAGAGACAGCAATTGGAAGCTGCTTTTCTTGCTCCCATTTATCTGTTTTCTTTATTTTATTCTTCAGGCCTATTATTCGACCCCTCCCTAGCCAGCAGATGTTTGAACATGTGCAAAAGAGGCATCGTGTATTTTTTCTTTACATTGGTGGAGAATCTCCACTGAAGGTTTGAAACTTCATTTATATTATTGTTTGCTGATTCCAAAAGAGTATTACGTTTTAATGCATGCTTCCTAAGATTGTTCTGGTAGCTGGCATCTCAACCCTAAGTAATTTCACCAAATCTGCAAGGGTACTTAAAGTTGCAGCTTTGGGAAAATAAATAAATAAATATATTTAGTGCAGTGAGGTAGATATATTTAGATTCATAGAATTGTAGAGTTGGATTTAATGATGCTATGATGAGAGAAATCAGTGTTATTCCCTTGAAGAAGAAGATTCCTAGAAACTGAGTTGTTAATCTCCTGGAAGTACAAAAATGGGTCTGTGGATTGTGCCTCTGGGATTTCATACCATAACTTACCCTGCAAATTGGAGGAATGGTGTGGGAGGGAATGGACGAATAAGAGTGCTACTGCTGATGCATGACATCATGAGGATCAGCTGGCAGTAGACAGACACATTGACATAGCATGACTATGTTGAGACACAGTCACAAGTACTTAAGGCCAGGGTTGGGAACTTGAAGCCTAAGGTCTTGATGTTGCTTTCAGATTAGTTATGTGGGGACTGTGGGGAGCAGAGAGGAAGAGAAACATGAGGGGAAAGGAAGGGGAAGCTAGAATAAATGGAGAGATGAGAAATTTAAAAATTTCCTCTGCAAGTGATCAGTAGCCATATGCTAAGAGTGATCTGTCCCTTCTCCGGCAGCCTCCTGGGAAGCAAGGATGGGTGAGAGAAAGGAAAGGCTGTTCCTCTATGACTTCAGGCCCCCAACACCAGCATGCAGCTCTCAACCCAAAAAGGTTCCTTGCCCCTGCTTTGGTGAATGAGGAACCAATATTTAGCAGTGAAATAAGCAACATTGTATTTTTGTTTTGCTATGTTTATTATGAAGATTGAGAAACTGTTTTAAAATGTCTATTTGTATTTCCACAGGAAAAATACATAGAAGTTGCTTCCGAACTAATTGTTTATACCTACTTTTTTTCTGCCTCAGAAGAGATACTTCCTGAGGTAAATTTATTCAAGAATGTATGTAAATAAACACTGGTAGATTACCGTTAAAAATGTTTGAGGTGGTGGTGGGGTGTTTTCATGTTTTGTTTTGTTTTGTTTTGTTTTGGTATGCTTTACATGAATGCAAGTAAGAGTTGTCATTTGAAGTCTTTCTCCGCAATCGGAAATGAGCCATTTAGGTGTGACAATGCAATATGTCCAGTTACGGCTTTGTGAAGTAGCCACAGCTGGTAAGGCAAGGCACTGTTAAATTTCAGCTCCATTGGCTGTGGAATCAGCACCATCTAAATTTAAAAAGAGACTCTTATTGGGCACACAGTTTGGTTGCACATGTTCTGTTTAGGTCTGTCTTTCCTTGAGGTCTTTGGAAAGGGGGATGGGGCTGATTCCGGTTCTGATTTTTCTTTGTGTGCAAGGTAGACATGGAGCTGTTGGGAGTATAATTCTGTCATGTTCTTGTTGCTACTTGACAAGGGAAAATGGAAACAGAACAGCTTCAATCACCCAATGGGAGGCCGTGGGTGATGAAAGTGATTTGTAGAGGATAGGATAGTAACGTTTACTTAAATTATTGGAGATTGCAATGGTAAGGCTGGAATTTAACATCATGTCTTGCCAGACAGAACAGTCTCCCTTCTCCTCCTCCTGCATGCTGTTCTGTGGGTTCTCCTAACACACCCAAGTGGATTTGTGGGATCAGGAGTGTAGGAGCGAAAGCCTCATTGCTCTAGTGAAAGCCTTTGCAGTGACTTTCGCTAGCACACCTGGTTAGTGGAAACTGGTCCTAAGCCTTCTCGATAATATTTTGTATCATTCTCTCTCTGTCTCTGTGTATATGTATATGTATATGTATATGTGTATATATAGAGAGAGAGAGAGACCCAGTTTTCCTTTACAGTTAGTGTTGCTCATTCACAAATCTATGCTGTAGTGCAGTTAAGATAGTTAGATCTCTCTGATCCTAGTTTGCATTCTGATGCAAAAAGAAGTTTAAAAGATGCACCCTATACTAGTTATATTTGGGGAGGAAATGTAAATACTTTACCAGCCCACTTTAATACTATACAAAGATTTTTTAAAATGTGATTTTCCCCATTGTGCTGTCATTGTTTTGGGTGGCAGATGTATTATAAGAGTTAGATCCTCTCATGAAGATGACCACAGTGGTGGTGGTAAGGTTCAAGGTAAAGTTCAAAAGACAATTCCTTGCATTTTTATTCTTTGGCAGCATAGCTGCATTATTTCATATGTGTGTGTGTGTGTGTGTGTGAGAGAGAGAGAGAGAGAGAGAGAGAGAGAGAGTGAGAGTCACTAGTATACCTTTAGGGCTTGGTGCACAAAAAGCAATGAGGCTATTTTCATGTACACAAGGCATCATCTATTGTCTCTGCTGGCTTGCAGTTTGTCCCACTTTGTGCTATTTTTTTTTACTATCCTCAGGGTTTCAAACTGCAAAAAATAGGGACAATAAAATTTTAAATTATCTAGAGAATAAAAGAACTAAGGCCAAAATCCCTTTAAAAAACAGGTTCTCATTTTTAATAGGAAAAGTACACCATGCTTTTACACTAGAATTTTTCTAGAAGTGTCAAGAACACCTTACTTGAACATAGGCATTGTATATCTATGATATAGCAAACAAAAATCTTAACATTTATTCACCAGCTAGCTTTGTTATGTAATACACAAACCTTTTAATCGTTACAGATACTAAACTGGAAAATCAAAGCTAAATTTCTGATTTGTTGAATAACTTGAGCTATAAAAGTACAGTGGTACCTCAGGTTACATCCGCTTCAGGTTACAGACTCCGCTAACCCAGAAATAGTACCTTGGGTTAAGAACTTTGCTTCAGGATGAGAACAGAAATTGCGCGGCAGCAGCAGGAGTTCCCATTAGCTAAAGTGGTGCTTCAGGTTAAGAACAGTTTCCGGTTAAGAACGGACCTCCGGAACAAATTAAGTACGTAACCAGAGGTACCACTGTACAAAAATAAAATTTCCTCATATCCAACCTCCTTTCTTAATAGAACATTTCTGCACACAGTTTATTTTTTGGTATTGTCAGTTTTCTCCTTCAAAAATGTTGCCTATCTTTTATGTCATCCAACTGGGGAAAGAGATTGGGAAGAATATCTGCATCAGAGGTGCATGGTCAGTGTATTAGGTTGTGATGCTTACTCTTAATTTTATGTATGACTTACAATTTATATCCTGCCTTTCTGCATATAGCACCCAAGGCAGCTAACAAATGAAAAATGTAATGAGCCCAAATAACAGAATGAGAAAGCAAATAGAACCCATTAACCAGACAAAGAAACCAACAGATGTAACTTTTTAATTTACAGGTCATCTTAATATATTTTGATGTGACGTCAGCTTGACAAGCCAATGCTAATTTAAAATTAAAATCTTCACCTGTTTAAAGAGAGACATTAAAGAGGGTGGTGATGTAGGCATCTCTAGGCAGGAGATGCCATGGTGCTTTTCTTTTCTTTTTTTACACCTTCACACTGTTTGTTTTTATTCAGTGACTTTGTGTTTTATGAATATTTATAAGCCACTTCATAGTCTATAACTGAAAAGTAGAATCAATAAAAAATGGAAAATATAAATGTATCCTGAAAGTTTCTTTGTGCCATTAAAGTGTTTGGTTTATCTTTTTTATCTTTCAGTATGTGACACTCCCTGAGATGCCAGCTGTTATAGTTTTCAAAGATGGAACTTATTTTGTGTATGATGGTAAGTTATAGATCAAGAGTAATATGTCAGTAACAGGTAACAGATTCCTCCCCCTGCATTTTAAGGATTCTAGCCCTAATACGTCTCAGTCTAGATGCTGTTACATACTTCTCAAAAATATCAAAATGTGTGTTGATTGGGCACAGTCTTTGATAATTTAGAGATGTAAAAGCAGTGCCATGCCGGCTCAAACTGTGACTGGCATCTCTGTCATGTGCTTCAAAGTAGGTTGCTCCTCGTATTTATTAATTATAAACAGGCACTCTGTAAGTTTCAGTTGTGCACATGGTGCTTTGCTAGGCCTGGTGTATATTTTAATTCCCTCCCACAGGTTTTCTTTTCCAGTTGACTTGGGATTCTATAGCTGTTCTGGGGGTCCCTTCCCATTAATATTTTTACCTGAAGTTGTTGTTGGTCTGGTAGTTCTACAAAATTTGAAGTTCCCCAAAGTCTGCTGACACCTCTTTCTTCTTCCTGGATGTTGCCACTTTGGTTACATGTGGTTTTGGATTCAGACCTACTCTTCCATGAATGGAAGGGCTCCTTCCGTTTATGGAAACGAGTCAGATCCAGTAGAGGCTGCATCTTCTTACTGAAACTCACATTGACAGAACAGGGAAACGGCTATTTGGGTTGTTGTCACTTAGCTGCACCACCTGCTTTGAAGAGTACCTCAATCCTCTGCAGTGGATTATAAGGGGGGCCGCCATTGAGTGGAACAATTGGCTGTTTTTTGCCTACAGAATAATCCATTTTTGAGTTCCACTCTGAGCAATTTTGAGTCCAAACAGTAGACTGACACTTGGAGAAACAGTATGCTCTTAGTTTGTCCAACCAGTAGATCGCGATCTACCGGTAGATCCCCGGCTGATCCTCGTAGATCGCAGGATCCTTATTGTGTACAAAAAGTTACGGGGGGAAAGCTAAAAAAACTCTGTGCAGTCCTCCCTCTGAAAAGCTCAACAACTCTGGGCACTTCCCTCCTAAAAAACGCTCAACAACTCTGGGCAATCCACCCACCCCACACACGCTCCTCCTCCCTCCAATGACAATGGGTAGATCACTGCCAGTTTTTTTATACTGGGAGTAGATCACAGTCTCTTGGGCGCTGGACATGCCTGGTATATATGATAGTGTTAGAAGAAGGCATGAGCATTTTATTTTTTCTTTCACTTTTTCTTTTTCTTTTTAAAGAATATGAAGATGGTGATTTGTCATCCTGGATAAGCAAGGAGAGATTTCAGGGGTATCTTAATGTTGATGGATTTACTCTGTATGAACTTGGAGACACAGGTAAGATGACCTTCCTTCAGAACTTTATTGTACGTTACGTTAACACTTTTGTATGTAAAGTCAGCTGCAATTTAAAAAAGCTGCTTTATGTTGTCCTATGCCTGGGAAACATCAAAGGATTTTATGGAATATGGATTTTCCACTGATGCATGTCCCTTCTTCAGATCCTACTTGAATGAAGCCAAACATTCACACCACTATTATTGCTAGTAATCAGCACTCTTCAAAACTCCCTTCCTATGGAAAGCTAAATCTAGGCTAGAACTCCTCTCCCAGACATGATATCTTTCTGTGGGCAGCAAATTTTAGTCTTGTAATCCCCCACATATTTTGAAATGGGACAGTTCTCCTGTAACAGTAACCTACTTGAACAATGAATTATTATAGGTGATAGGCATTGTGTAGGACACACACAGAATAGCTTCAGAAGAAAGTTTAATAGTAGTGATGGAGTTTCCAACTTAAATATTCTGCTCCGTGTCTTCCATCAAGGTATGTTGTAGTTTGTGTATCTGTAAGACCTTTCCATTTGAGAAAGTGCTTTGTGGTTGGGGATGAGTAGTGTTTTATTTTCAGTAGCATTTTCCATTTCTGGAGCATATGGCAATGCTTTTTTTTTATATATAAAAAAATAATGGTTACAAAATAGCTGTTCTGTTTTCTTTGGGGATGGGAAGTTACTTAAATAAGAAGCATCTTTCTGTAGACATATCCTAAATTTAGTTCTATGTCTTTTGCTTTTTAGGAAAACTTGTGGCTATTGCAATTATTGATGATAAAAACACTTCTGTTGAACATATAAGGTATGTTGGTGTGTATACGTGATAAAACATAACAAACCATTTAGAAACTGACACCTCTTGAATACTGCATGAACCCTTCTCCAATCCCTAACTTGTCCATTGTTGGACTACGTTATTTAAAGACTAATATAAAAGGAAGCTGCACATCAAAAACAAGCCATAGGTTTATTCAGATATTATTAATAAAAGGAAAAGGGTATGGTCCTATGTATAGTTACTTGGAATTAAGTCCCGTTGAACTCACCATTCATGGGATCAGGTTTCCCTTTTCTTTCTTACCCGCCAATTATTTTTATTGATTTTCCAAATTATTACAAATTAAACCAAATTAATTTAATTTAATACAAATTCATTTTTTTAAAAAAACTGGTTTCCTATCCTGTTACAAGCTATGTCCAAGATGCATCTCCACTGCTCCATCCATTGTCGCTTCAGTCTCTAGCTGACATCATTTCACTTGCTATTGTTGTCCATTCATTCAGCTGCCCTTTTTATCACCCTTTTAATCAGATAGGATTGAGCTGTATGTCATACATATGAAGCTTCTGTATTGAAGGGCACAGACAAATACAGTCATACCTTGGTTGTCAAACGGAATCCGTTCCGGAAGTCTATTCAACTACCAAAAATGTTTGAAAACCAAAGGGCGGCTTCTGATTGGCTGCAGGAGCTTTCTGCACTCAATCGGGAGCTGCGGAAGCTTCCAAAGAACGTTTGCAAACCATAACACTTCCAGGTTTGTGGCGTTTGGAAGCCAAAACGGACAAGTACCAAGGCATTCAACAACCAAGGTCCGACGGTACTCAAATAGTATGTAGTGAGTGGCACAAAACTGAGTAGAATCTGGATTTCTTGTATATCAGGAGCCATGGAGCAGTCTAGATGTAATGACCATACCGTTCCTTGGTCTTCATAAACAGGCTTTATGCTTAGGTACTCCCTTCTTATCTCCATGGCCCAATGTGTTTCATTGCTGAATGTACAGCAATGCTGTACAATGCCATTGCTGAATAGATTCTGTTTATATTTGTGGAAATACTGTGAAATGTTTCTTTTTACAGGTTGAAGTCTATTATGCAGGATGTTGCCAAAAATTATAGAGACCACTTTCATAGGTACATGCATATATTTAATCACTTGTTAATTGTTCCTAATCGTGTGTTAAGTGGGTTGAATAAATACTGCAAATTTTGACTGTGACAGTTAACAACAAATCCATTCTTAAAGCTAGGTAATCTTAAGACTATATACACAAATTGTCCAAATTTAGGAGAAAAGTGGAAGAAACTAAGCTTTAGGGATTGCGTACATTTTGAAAATGTGTGTGTGCTACATTTTCTTTTAAAAAAGACTTTTAAAATACCCTAACACATGTATGTCACACATTTGCTCTCTGGCAGAGCACCTTCTGATGTCAAGATAGAATAGAAACTAGGTTCTTCATTGAAAAAGTATACATTCACAAATAACTGTAATGAGAAATAAGTAATACTGAGATGGAAAAGCTCTTCTGTTTTATTAGATCTCTAATATGTGTGCAGATCGGTTTACCATATTGACATCAATTTAAGCTGCAATTATTAGCCATTTGAAAATACAAATATTAGCTCATGCAGAGCAAGATACTTTTGCCTTTTTTAAGCTTTCAGATATATGAACAGACTGCCAGATCCTTAATGGTTGTAGCTAGATGTTTATCCTGGCACTACTTTTCTGAGAATAGTTTCCTGGTCCAAAGGGACCAAGGTACAGGAGATAGCAAAGCTGTACAACAATGTTGCTACCCATGGGTTTTGTTCAACTAAGGGCAGCTCTTCTGGAGGTTGTAAATTACTTGTGCACAAATGATGAAGTGTTAGAGTGGTTTAGGGGAATGCAGAAGCAATCTAAACAACTCACCTTTTTATCTAAGACCGTGCATTCAACATTTACATTTTCTGCTGGGACAGTTAAATTCTTTACCAAGAAAAAGGAAATGTGTAGAATTATTCTCTTTTTGTGTACCCCATATTCGGTTCTTAATTTTTAATTCTGTTCTTGTTAGTTGTGGGGAGGGGCAAGGGGTTGTGCTAGTAGGCACTGGAGTGCCCCTCTCACATTCCTGGCCACCACTAGTGATATTGTTTGGCCTGTCCAGGTTCTTAGGATCCAATAATTCACAAGGGTATAAGATCCAACTGTTTAAACAAAATATGCACACAGTCCCTTGCTTCTGCCTAGCTATGGGTTGCATCCAATGCTCTGTTAGCAGAGTTCTGCTTGCACATCGAGACTTCCATTTCCTCTCTTCCCCCTGTGTATTCACAAAATCTGCACACATAGGAGAGGAGGAAGAAAGTGTGTTGTGTGAGCAGAGCTGCAGCACTGGATATGACCCTGTGTTAGCAAGTCCTCCTCACAAATACAGTTGCTGAAATTAGTCCATTTTTTATAATTTGAAGTAACTACCATACACAAGATTCTAGCAGTGGATAATTCATGGAAGTAGAGCACCTGACCTCTTATACACTGCTTTGTAAGAGTTGTACTGAAGAGTGGTTTGTAACTAAAATGAATGGATTGGATACTGCTTTAGAACTGTCTGTTTATTGTCCACATTTTCCACTTAGCCAAGAAAATATAGTGGAAATAAAAGTGCAGAAAAGCATAAAATGTGATTAATTGCCATGATCTATATTAAGAGGAGAGTATCCCTAGAACTCTGAAAAGGAATAAGCATGTTAGGAGTGATAATACAAAAGAACTTTTTGTTGTGGGTTTCATGCTATCTTTTCACTAAGTCACACACCCCTTAAATCAGGATCCCTAATTCCCCCACTCCCCATGGGTTGGTGAGACCGCCCTAATAACAAAATGATCACTGTGGTAACAGTAACTTCCTTTGAAGACACACTTTCACTGCCGGTCAGCTGATTGGCTCTGGGAGCAGACATTCAAAGGAGCTTGCTGTAACTGCTGATCAGCAGTTGCAGCAAATCTGTTTGGGAGAAGCAGTTTCGATTCAAACCGCTGCCTCCAAATGAGGAACCTCCAAGTTTGCCTCCAAGTTCTCCAAATATAGATGGATACAACTTGCTGTCATTTTTTTAAAGTTAGGTTTAATTAACAATTTGTATTTTGACTCTTCACAGGAGCTTCCAGTTTGGCCATATGGATGGTAATGAATACATGAATAGTTTACTAATGGAGTAAGTATGTTTTTGAGATTTCATGCTATTAATATCATTTGTGTAGTAAGGTTTTTATTTTGAAACTCTGTTCTTGTGTTTGCTGTAAGTAGGTTACAAATATCTGTAGAAAGAGAGCATATAAACTTGGTAGATATGTGAAAGTTGGTTTTGCACAGTGTAAGATGAGATACTCTGCCCAGTGATTGCCTTCACAAGAATGGATTCAGCATGTTCCCTCCATGGAATCACTGTGAACCCTGGAAATTTATCATATGAATTGTCTGTGCCAAAGTTACACACTTGTCCTAATTTTATGATTTGTACTGTTTTGTGTGCGTTTGCATTTGTGTTTAAAATAAATAGCACTTGGATATGGCCCTTCAATATGCAATAAAACCATTTTACTTTTAAAGAGAACATTTCATTATATATAAAACCTAGATATTTAAATTTTGTATATAACTTTTTCCACTAGATGGCAGGATGGGATAGTAAATGGAGAGAGAAAAGGCACATAAATGAGAGCTGAACATGAAATACACACACACACACACACACACACACACACACACACTGATTGAGGCTTATATATACTGTGAAATGATTACACACCATTAAGGAGAAAAACATATTAGGAACTTACGACTTTGTTTTACATGCTTGATGGATTTTGAATTTCAGCTATTGTTGCTGAGCTTTTGTGGCCTAGAAGAGGCGTATAAAGCTCTCAAATCTCTCTTTGAGAGGATTCAGAAGGGCAGCTCCGGGTTGTGTTCCATTGTTTCAGCAGAGAAATAACCCTTATTGTTCCTGAATAGAGGCTCAAATTACACCAAAGCTTAAGGCTTCGAAGATTACATCTGTCTGATACCTATGTTTCCCAGTAGAAATGAGGCCATTCCTGCAGATCAGGCATGTCCAACCGGTCGAAAGCTCAACAACTTTGCTGAAGGCTCCCCCTAAAGCTCAACAACTTTGGTCAATCCAATGGGTAGATTGCCAGTTTTTTTATAGTGGGAGTAGATCGCAGTCTCTTGGGAGTTGGATATGCCTGCTGTAGATAATGAGAAACCATGCTTAGCTCTCCTTGGCTTGGTCCACTTGACAAATTACAATATTATTCCAAATGTAGCCTGTAGATATAGTTGGCAAAAGACATGCTGCTGGAGACTATAGCAAATGGTACTTTTGGGCATGTTGTAGAAGTTAGTAGCTAGCTACAGTGGCAGTCTAGGGGAATCAGATTTCTGTCTATCAAGGTTGTCTTCATTCTGCTCTATATACCATGACTTGCTGGCTACTAGTATAGTCTTCGAAAGCACGTCAAAGTGCAAGTAGATAAATAGGTACCTTCCGGCGGGAAGGTAAATGGCGTTTCTGTGTGCTGCTCTAGTTCGCCAGAAGCGGCTTAGTCATGCTGACCACATGACCCGGAAGCTGTCTGCAGACTAACACCGGCTCCCTCGGTCTATAGAGCGAGATGAGCGCCACAACTCCAGAGTCGTCCGCAACTGGACCTAATGATTAGGGGTACCTTTACCTTTACCTTTAGTGTAGTCTTGTCCAGATTCACTTGTCGTATCTGCTGTCCCCCCTCATTGTTAAGCATTGGGAAAGTGGACTATGAAACCTTTGTCAGAAGCAAGATGGTTAAAGCTGAACCTTGTATGATATTTCAGTGTCCTAGGAATGTGGCAAATACTCCACTACCACCACCTCATTTGGTCTTCCTGCAAGAAATGAGTTGAATCACTTGTTCAGATACTATAGATAGGATAGTTGCAAAGTCAAGTTGCCAAGAAGCTTTTATAGTTCTTAGGTGCTCTATTAATAAATTGAATGCTGATAACTGATAGCTTTTTTCTTTTTTTAGTTCCTGACTTGTTCGATTTTACTGTTTCAGTGATCTGAAAATTCCCACTATAGTTGTATTGAACACATCCAATCAACAGTATTTCCTACCTCATAAAACTATTGAGAGTACTGAAGATATGGTTCAGTTCATTAATGAGATCCTGGAAGGCACTGCAGAAGTAAGCCTTTCTCTTTTATTCAAAATCTCTTTAACCAATTCTTGAACTGCTCAAAGACCTAACAGTTTGTTGGCTATCTTACCTCATTTCTGTTTTCTGATTTGAATGTGCAGTACCAATGTTCCTTGAAAAACAAGAGTCGCTGGAAAGAACTAACATTAGAGACAGCCTGGGGACAGGTCCTTGCAAGGGACCCCAAGAATGTCACAAGAAAATAATTTTCCCCTTCAATGGAAAAACATTATATATCAGACTTCATGGTGAAGAAAGGTGGATGCAAGCTGAAATATAATTGACTAGTTCTAATGCCTGTTTTTACCTTTGAAATTTTAGGCACACGGTGGAGATGGAATTCTTCAACGGATCAAGAGAATAATTTATGATGCCAAGTCTACTGTAGGAGTAAGTAATGTCCCATCTCTGTTAGATAATGTCTAAACGTATATCAGATATAAAATAGCTACAGTACCTGCCAAACATCCAGCATATTAAGGTCCTCAGGTTACCCATCCTAACATCAATATCTAATTTGATCACATGATTTTGGGTGCTGGGTTCTGTATTTTAAAGAAGTTTGTTACAATATATCTGCCTTTTGAAACACACATCTTGGCATCAGGAATCCAGACATTTGGCAACCCATATGCTTTTGGCAATTTCCCTTAAAAATAGCTCAAAAACTTCCCTTTTTAAACATTTATTTTTAGATTTCTGGCAAAACTTTAAAAAGCTCATGAACTTTGGCTGAAAAAAAGCTCAATAACTTTTCTGTCCGGATTTTCACTTTTTGAATACGCCAACCCTAGCTTAGACGGAGAGATGGATCACAGAAACCCTTTGAAAATCAGCTTCCCTCTTTAAAGTGCTCTCCATGGAGTCAAGCAATAATCCTTGTGTTGACTGCTGCCATGAGTTTCCAAGACAGTGATAGCTATTCCCAGCAGCTGCAGGCGTTGCGTGTCAAGCCCCGAAACCCACCCCCATGGAAAGACACAAAGGAGACAGAATTTAGTTTAAAGGTTAATGGGCAAATTTAGGCTACAACTTTATTGAGTACACAAGTGTGACTGGTATTGGCTTAGGCATTGGTATCTAATGACTATAACTGGCTCCTGCCACCCAGCAGGTAGCCTGCAAAGCGTAAACTACCAGCAGAGGGAGCTCCAACAATGGCTATTGACTGGTGCTCACCTCTGGGGTTTCCGGGGGTTCTGGCATGGCCCTAGCTCCTTCCCAGGCTTCGGCCGAGATCCAAGCCCCCGGATCCCTTTAACAGAATACCCTATCAAATGGAGGGGCAGGTGATGGCCACACCTCCCCTCCCCACATTTCCCTAAACCAATGCCTAACCACCAAACCTTACAAAGTTGTGACGATTCTAAGAGGTAGGCAAAAACACAGCAGCCGCTGCCAATCTGCCACATTGGAAAAAAATCCTACCCAGCCCCTGTTCAAAAACGGGAGTCCAAAGCAAGGTCTGACCCCGACCTAACAAGGGGTGGTGAGTGTTCGGCAGCGCAAAGCAAGAGGAGGTCCCCACAACGTGCTTCTGTTTAAATACTCTACTCCCAATCAGGCCACCACGCTGATTGGCTAAAAGCCAGTGGCAAGATCGTGGCACCACTGGCTGGAGCGGGGCAAAGCCCCTCCTCCATGCCCGTTGGGGGGAGTCCTGGGGCTGTGCGCAACATGGACCCTCGGTTAGGAGGATCCAACTTGTAGAGATATACAATATGTACTACTGGTAATCCATGTGACAACTACTGCTAAAAGAAGCAGCATTTGTTCAGATCTTTAGCAGATGCTTCAAGAACCCTTAAAACTCACTTGTCAACTGGTTCAGCTACCTCCTCTCTGTACTCACAGCACATCTGGAACCTGAATGATGTTGTTGGCCTGCCAGAAACACAAACAGCCAACACAAGAACAATAAGTTACATATAGGTCTGTGCACTTATTTCCATAAAGACATAAAATCTGTTTTGGGGGCAAAGACTGCATAGATGTACACAAAACTTAGTTTGTGGACTTGCCCTAAAATAGAATAACAATTATAATGGCTTCAGGTCGGTAGCTGTGTTGGTCTGACGAAGTGTGCATGCACACGAAAGCTTATACCCAGAACAATCTTAGTTGGTCTCTAAGGTGCTACTGGACAATTTTTTAATTATAATGGAGTTAATTTGGTCTTAACTTGATGAATCAAAGATGTTTGCGGGGAGAGTACATCAGCTTAACACACTGTAAATATCAGAAGCTTTTAAATGAAAGATAAGTCCTGCAAAATGCACACTCCTATCCACATCTGTGCAAAAGCTTGAGTCCCATTGAGTTCAGTGGGACTTAGCCCCAGGTAAGTGTTTTAGCACTGTAGCTTTAGTAACATTTGCTGCTTCTTATCCACTTGATATACTAAATGCCGACCTTCGAGATTTTCACAACCGCCAACTTCATTGGTTCATAAACTCCCTTTAAAATAAAGTCTTTAGGTGAGCGATCTCCACTTGCCTGATGTTTCCAGGAACTGCTAAGTACGTAATTCCCACTGTGTTTTTCTGCATTTTATTTCCCTCTGACTTACTCTTTACAAACCCCCTTCCCCAAAACCATGTGTAGATATACCTGCAGCTCAGGAAAACACTCCATATATCTGATGGACCGTATTCCGTGAAAGCTTATGCACTGATATATTTGTCAGATGTTGTCGAATTGTCACTAACAGCTAACCATTTCTCAACAGTCTGTTTTCAAGAGTTCCCCCCTTCTGGGCTGCTTTCTCTTTGGTCTACCACTGGGTGTCATCAGCATCATGTGTTACGGAATTTGTATGGCTGACTCTGATGGAAGATCAGATGAAGCGGAAGTATCTAAGAAGGAAAGTACAGGGCGGGAACTGACTGATGAAGGCACTGAGGAAGAACAAGAGGAAGAAAACAGTGAGAACCGTCTAGAATTTCCAGGTGGCGAGCAAGAACAGAAAACTATATTTGAAAAGAAAAAAGACTAAATTGCTTAATTAAAAAAAAGTAGAATTTCAAAATATAGACTTATTTATTGAATTCATCTATTTACCTGTGACCTTCAGAGATGATGAACTTTTTGTTTTACATGCATGTGTTCCAATTGCTTGGCCATGAAGAAGAATGAGTGGAAGTCTGGGTTTCAGAGTCCTTTACTATCTTTATCCTGCTGAAAAGAATTCAAATTAAGGGATGTATATATGAGCTATTTTACAGTGATGCACACTGAAGTTTTCTTCTTTCTTTTCTAGCTACTGAGAACTGGTTAACAATTATTTTAACTATGTGGCCAAAGTAAATAAAACATTTAAAAAGGACTGCAGAAATGTTCTCAGCCTAGAGTGAAATCTGTAAATGGGGAAACATACCTTTGGGACATTACATAAATGCTTTTAAAAATAGTTAGTATTGCTTTGAAAAGCAATACATACTTCATTTTAGTTTTTTTAATAAAAAGATGTAAATTTTAGATAATCTGTTACAGAAGTCTCATGGCAGTGCTAAACACAGGTATTGCAGTCTCTCTTTAGTTGTTTTTTTTGCAATTTTAATATTCTTCAAAGTAGTATTTGCTTACTGGGTCCATTTGCTATTGCATTATATTGGTCCAATATGGTTCATTATTAAAAATCACTTCTGTATTTAACTTAAAAGGAAAAAACCTTGCTTTTAGATGAGATTTCCCCTAATCTTGACAAAACTGAAGGTTTCATTTGCTCATGACAAAATTAGTGGAATATTTTTTTCTGTGTGTCTGCTGCATGATTAATGACAAGTGTTTCTTCAATATGCCAAAATATTTTTAAAGGTGGGTTAAATCTTGCAACAACTGTGACTTCTGCAAGTGAAAAACACATAAACAAATATTTTATTGGCTTTTTATCAGTGATACCTGCATTTGACATCTCAACTACATGTTGATTGGACAGAGCAATTTAATTATCTGAAGGACGGTTAACACTTCTAGAAAAGGGGGGTATATGTCGGTGCAGTATATTTTCATTAACTGTTAAATCACATAAGTCATCTCTAATACTGTCCCTTGACATTGAAAGCAACTAAGCTCTCTCCAGAGTTAAGATCTCAAGGGATAAGCTATAAGATGGTGTTTGGAGTATTGATACCATGGTGATTACCATAGCAACCAAACCTATGCTGCTCATTTTCAGAACTACGGCTATGTCACATCCAGTTGGAAAACTGAAAAATAAAAGCTTCCCAGCTTGTGAGTCTTGGTAAAGCAGTTTGGTATAATATGTATGGCTACATATGTACATTCTCAAAAAAGAAATTTTAAGCTTGGATAAAAAAAGTTTTAAGGAATTAAGACTAGAAGATAGAATTTTTTGTCCTCCTGAAGATAGGGAAACCCTGTAGTACTTTAAAGCTAATCAACTTTCTAAAACATTCTAAGCAAACTAATTCGATTTACATAGTTTTGTTATTTAGAAGGAAATTAAGCCGATAATAACACAGCTGTTCTGAAAATGCATGGGTTTTAAAAGTAGGGTTCTCCTTGATAAAAATGAATGTTGATTTTCAAAATAGGAAGAGATGAGAAATGGAAAAGTGTTTAGCACTTTCACTGACAGTTGTTCTTTGCCCAAAGAATAAATTGCTGAGATTTAATTTATACTTACCAGAAATATTCTAGCTGTGACAGTTTGGCTTTATAAAGAAACTTGGTTCTGGCTTTTGTTTAAATTTAAACCAGGTTGTGTTGGTTCTGAACACTGATAGAAGTTATAAATGGCATTTTGTTTGAGGCAAGGTTCAACTCTTGTCATGTCATGTGCAGTTGGTTTTTCACATAATTGAGGTTTTGTCCAATGCTGCAAAACTCCCCTATGCTTTAAGCGTCAAAAGCATAAAATGAGCTGGATTTTTAGGACGGAAAGAAGAGTTTTAGACCGTACCAGGATAGCATTTCTATTTTGTTGGTGTTATATGTTGTTTACAGAAGTAGTGAATGTCAGCACAAGAAATCTGAATTCATCTACTATTTCACACGACTTATTAATTTTGTGTTCTTATAGCTTTCTTTTAGATACAAATAACAGCTACATGCTATATAGTAGTTTTTCTAGTGCTGAATCTTGAGAGCATGCTTTCAAAAACAACAAAATCCTAGCATTTATACCAATTTATAGGATGTTAAGCAGTGTTGGAGTGGTTTGGACAGTGGCAGTTAAAATAGGTATATGTTTGCCATCCAGCATATGGAATGTCAAACTCCCTGGCGTTTACTGAACTCAAGTGTACTGCCATTTCACTTCAGCTTCATAACACTGCAGTTAAAGTAGATTTAACTGAGCATTCCCCCTTTTATCTTGGGAATGAATAACTTGCGGTATAAAACAAAATGACTATTTTTTTTTTTGATCATGTAAAGAGCTTCACACAGTCAGGTGTCTATTTTAACTTGAATGGAAGCACTCCAATTTTATTTTACTTTGTTGAATTTATCAGCTGTAAATGTGGGGTGTGTGTGTTTTTTGTGTGTGTTTTTTTACAATAATAAAACATTTAAAAGTACTGCTTTTCACTCCTTGGTGCTCTATTTGCACGTAGTTTGACATATATAATAGAGAAGAGATAGAAGAAACTGGGATCAGACCAGCATTCTCTTTCCCACATGACTTTTGAAACCCACAAGATGACATTGGCCGCAGCCTTCTCCCACTGTTGTTCCCCAGCAATTGGCATTCTAAGGCCCACTGCAACTGCTGTTGTTAAAGGTAATAATTAGCCATCATGACTGGTAGCCATTGTAATAGCCTTATCTTCCATGAATTTGTCTATTGCTCTTTAAAAGCCCTCTAGGCTGGGAACCATATTGTGATAATGAATTCCATATTTTAGCCATGTGAAGAATTTTGTATGTGTGTGTACGGGATTTAGCATTATGGAATGATCCAGGTTCTAGTATATGTGGCAACCTCTCTATCCACTTTCTCCACACTATGGCATACTTTTATACAACTTTGTACTGTGTTTCCTTCCCCTTACTTGAATTTTTCCTAAATAAAAGAACACCAAATACACGTCGTCTTCATAGGGGAGTTTCTTCAGCCCCTTAATCATTTTACACTTCTTCAATGCCCTTTTTGAGAGGAAGCAACCAGAAATGCACACAGTATTCCAAGTATAGTAATAACATATGTTTGTGTAAAGGTACTATAATAATGGGAATTTAATTTTAGATCTAATAACCCCTAGTAAGGAATTCTCCTTTTTCATGGTTGTTGCTCAGTCGCTCAAGGTTTTCATTGAGCCTCCACCATGACTCCCAATATCTCTTTTCTGGTCAGTTGAGACTAGCTCAAACCACATTGGTGTATATGTAAAATTGGAAGGGAAAGTGCCCCCAACGTACTAGCATAAGGTGTCCATTTAATGCATATATTGGTAGAAATGCTACATAAATTTGCTTTGAAAAAATGTATCTGTTGGGCAAAATTGCATACAAAAAATTGCACCAAGGTTTCCATGAGGGTTTTTAAAATAATAATGATCAGGAACTCATGTGGAAATGAAAAACTGAATTTAAGATTAGAATAATAAGAAATGGAAAAGCTGAAATTTTCATGTTTTCTCATCCCGAGGCGGGATAAACGGCCATAAACACACAATTGGCATGTCTTCAGAGGAACATGTTGGCATCAGTCAGGCTTACAGCATGAAAGAATTGCCTTGAAAAATACTCACCTTGTGTGAGTTTAATGTGCCCTGTATACACAATGATATAATATCTAATCATGAACTGTGTTTTCCATAGTTTCTTGAAAAACATAACCAGGGAAGAAAGCAATATACAATAATGAAATGCCTTATAAATCCGCTATGTTGTGGGGAAATATTTTTCCTTACAGTAGTGCATGTTTTGTAAAGGATCATCAAGAGGGATTCTGTCAGTGCTACTAAACAGAAGGGTGTTTTGTATTTGTTACCTCTGATGTACAAAGCAGAAGCACAGCGCTCCCTTTCAATAGGTCATAATCATCTGTCATCCGCAGCTGGAAAAAGCAAACCTATTGGCACAACACTTGTCAGATCTTCTGATCTGCGGGCGCATTTAAGTAGAAGACATTTGGTTGTTTGTCTGAGACCTCTATTCTTGTAAACAAGGTAGTAGGCTATATCCCTGTGGTCTGACTTACCTCTTTATGATAGGGATTCTCAAGTGCTGGGAAGAATATAATCAATTTGGTCCAAATTTTACTGCTTGTGGGGCTTGGGAAAGCATAGATTCTCCTTTGGCCCACCTACTATTCCACGGTGTCTCTGCTTTGTAGATCTCTGAACTGCACAGGATGAAAGGCATTTCAGCTTCTATTCCATAAGGAAAGACCATTTTTGGCCAATATACCAGATCTCGCAAGAAGAAGAAATGGGTGTGTGACTGTGTTTTTAGGCAAGAACTATCAATCCTTAGCTGATGGAGTACTGAGAATATTTCCTTGCACACATTTACCCAGTGGGACTGATTTTTATTTTTATTTTGCTACATGATTGCAAATATGGCCTTTAATGACCACGTTTCAGAAGACATTTTCTACTGGTACAGTTATTTTGAGTGGGTGACTTCTTTGTTTAAAAACATTTGGGAGAGGTTCTGCTCTTTTGATTAAAAGGAATATGGAGGTTGATCTAAATGTGTACCTTTTGTGCAGATCCAGTACCCTGTCAAAGGTGAATACTCATCAATTATCTCTGGAAATTCGTATTAATGCTGTAGTAGCTGCTCAAACATTGTCTCTTGTGTAAATTCATAGTAGAGGTGTACTGTCTAAAGGCCAATCAGAAGAGACTGGCAGAATATTTGTGGCAGCCACAAAGCTCACTGGGCGACCTTGGGCCAATCACTATCTTTCAGCCTAGAAATACCTCACATGGTGGCTGTGAGGATGAAATGTGGAAAAGGAGAACCATGCACCCCACCTTGAGGTCCTTGGAGGAAAGTGGGAATATAAATGTCATGATCAATATATCAACTGCAGCAAAGAAAGTAGATGCAAATAGATAGCTTGAGGGATAAACAGGCAGTGCCTGCTATTCACACCGGGAAAACCATTGAGACTTACTACTGTATAAGGAAAAGGAAAGATTTTTCTCTCTCTTAGCCCTCTCATTATTGGGATAAGTGAACTGGCTAGAGCTGGCACTCCCAATGCCAAGAGGATAAAGCTCTAACCAATAAAATAAATATACTGTTGAAGGAATGCAGTACTACAGGACAGCGTTGGTAAGTCTCTAAATTTTGTTCTGTATGGGACAATGACAATAAAGAGTATCGTATCGTATCGTATCGTATGATGATGATGATGATTATATTTATACCTGCACATATTAAAACACCAAACATTAAAAACTTGCCGATACAGGGCTGCCTTCAGATGTCTTCTAAAAGTTACATAGTTATGTAGTTGGTACTGTTTGGTGGAGTAGTTGCATAGACAGTACGCAATAAGCAAATGGACCCCAGACCACCCTAAGCTTGGTGCCTGAGGAAAGTCACCCAGGTTCCCTGCAAGGAATTTTGTTTGTGTTTAATATTAGTCACTGCATGAGAATTAATAATTTATTTCGTGTCCAGTCGGGCTAGCATTTTGTTTCATGTTTCTGTTGGAAATTACAAACTGCAGAGAAATTTTTTTATTTCCTAGTATTAGGTCAAGTTCAAGGTACAGGTAATATGCAAAGATGGTTTAGAATATGTATATATTTTTTCTTTTTTAAAACAAGCAAACACATCATTCTGCCAACAACCCACTGCTATTACAAGGATTTATTTGACGGAAATGCTGTTTCTTTAAGAAATGTCAGGCTGCTTAGTATGCAAGATTTACCATTTGGCCCAAGGATCTTTATTTAGTCTGAATGGCTGTAAAGGAAATGGAATTATTCAAGGTTGTTTCAGCTTATCAGATGAAGCTTCTCAATATATGTATGCTACTCATGTAAGAGTTTTCTTTTGATCCTTAGTGCTCTGTGTGTGCGTTAGCTTGGGGGTTGTCAATGTTCAGTTTCCTACATGTAAAAAGCCTGCATTTACAGAGAAACTAGAGATTTGGCTTTAGGAATTTGTGCTTCAGTTAACAAAGAATTCATTAACACCTCCATTCAATGCACATGAAGGCAGATAAGCAACAACTGAATAATTTTGTCTTGACCTTCAGTGATAAACATATTCAAGCAAATTACTACTTTCCCTCTAGCCAAATGTTAATTTCTGTGATTAAAGTACTGCACACACCAACTTATCATTTTGCCACTACTGTTGATCATACATGCATGCAATTGTTCGATGAATAATTATAAGATTGTTAATTAGAACATGGGGCACATATATTCCTCTCCTCTCCCATGTATTCACTGGCAGAGGGTTGTTTTTTGTTTTTTTTTAATGCCCCTAATGACTCCATTAATTATTAACAAGATCTGGAAATAACAGCATTTATTCCACTTGTAATAGCAAAGAAAAAGAAATACTGCTGAAAATCATTTTGTGAATGAAGGACAAGTATTGTAGGCAACGAGGTCTATTTTCCTTCCCTTGGCAAAATTCTTTGCTCCTCAGCCAATGCTTTCATTACCTACTAAAAGGCATGTGATGTGTTCCTCCTGTTGCCACTTGGATCACTCTGGAAACTGGCTGTGTGTGGCGTCGGCGAACTTTTCACTCAACTGAATAGTGTGAAATGTCATGGGAACATGTGGAAAGATCCAATCCACGTGGTCCAAGTACATGGAACATCTGCCAAACAGACAGCTTGGCAAGTGGTCCAGTTGGCAGATGGAAAAGAAGGAGCAGTCATGACACATAAATGCAAACTTGTTGGCAGGGGTGACGGTACTGATGTTGGCACTGACGTGTGGCTGTAGGACTGCCGACCCAAGTGGAGACCGGTGATGGAGCCCTTTTGCTCAGGGCAGACCAGGACAAGTCCAGGCACTCAACAAGAGAAGGCAGAACAGAACACGAATGATGGCTGGTTATTGGACTGGCCTATTTTCTGCCATCCAAATTTATAATACAGGAACAGCTACAAGCAGCACCATTGAATGTTGTGGAGCCACTTCAAACCTGACCAACAAAAGAGGAATACGAGGGAGGGCAAATTGGTTGCCCCATCTCCTGGCACAATGTATTAGATTAAGGGTATAAGGGCCAAAAGTTAAAATGCTGGATTTTTTTTTTTTTTAACGTGCATATCAGCTTCACAAATGTCTCTTCCTGCACAACTAAGAAGATGAAGATTTGGGTTTAAGGGCTGCAGCTTAATTAAATAAACATAATTCAAAAGACTGCAGCAGAAAGATTGATAATCTGTGCAGGCATCCTATTTGGGTCAGACCTTGAAGAATAGAACCCGTCTCCCTCGAGCGTAACCCCACCCTGGTTCCAAGCCATGGATTGGAAGGTTAATTGGTATGTGTCTTGCCCATTCCTTCTCACCCACAGGCGTGTAAGTGCCCCGTTGTTACCTTCACCTTTATCCTGTTGTCAGTTAGCGCTGGATTCGGGGCAGCACAGGTGGCTCCCCCGCACAACGTGGTGAGCCGAGGGGCTGCAAAATTGAGAAGATCCATAACTGAGAAGATCCATTTGGGGACACCAAATGTTGGCCTTGTACAAAAGATGCCCGAAGTCTGCCCCTGTCTCTAACTTTCAGAAGTATGCAGCCCCCAAAGCCCAAGGGACACCCCTCCCTGTTCCACCCCAAAGCCAGCCAATGATTAGAGGTAGATTAAGACATGCCCCTTTATGAAGCTGGTGCCATTGGTGCTTACCATGGCAGAAAATTGTTTTAAATGATTTTAATATAGTTTTTCACCGACGTCATCAGCCCTGGCCCTGATGGTGAAGGGCAAGTAAGACTCTAGATTATGATGCGAATAAGAAATAATAATAATAATAATAATAATAATAATAATAATAATAATAGATAATGATAAGATTGTATTGTATTTCTTTCTCCCTGGCCACACAACAGCCTCCTAGGTGAGTCCAGGGCAGAGTGTTTTCCTCACTGAAAGCATCATAAAAGGGCCTTTCTTTCCCAGCTCCTCATTATAATGTGCAGATCTCTGTATATGACCTCTGTTCTAAAAGTTGTTGGTGCTTTGCCGATGGAGTTTAGAACTGTCCTCAAGTTTTGCAGTCTTAAATTATGATCTACAGTTCTAATTTTACACCTGCTCTTCATCAAGGTCACTGTCGATGCTAAGGTTTGTGTGCGAGAGAGTTTTAATGAGAATATAATAAACATACAACTGATGCTATGATTGAGGAGCTTGATTAGGCACAAGGGCTAAAAATGTATCCAATGGTTTTTTGTTTGTCAAGAAAGGGCAATTCTGTGTCTGTAATATATGAATAAAACATTAGCTAGGTCATTAAAATGCATTGCTAACTATTGCTCTCTTAGAATTGTCATCTATTCATGAATGCATGGAACTGAAACACTATTAATATTAATCGCAAAAACATTGCATCTTTACATTTCTATAAATGGATCAAACAGGTAATTTATTTTCCTGAAAAATTGGGAAGAGAAAGGGACTTCTCAAACTTTTCTTCTGTAAGGCAGCTTGTTCGTGACTGTACTGTCCTATGTTATCATAGTGTCCTAAGGAATTATTATTAAATTGAAGAGATTTGGATGGAGGTCTTATGGCTACATAGGAGAATAAGTGTGTGGGTTGATGGGGTCTATTTGTACTGGTTGAAAGCTGCAGCTATACTCAAGGTATTAAAAGCAGGGTTTCAGAAGCAAGCTAAACTTTGTTTGACCCCACAGGATGTGCTGAATTTAAAACAGTGACTCCCATCCTAAACATACTTACCTGGGAGTAGGTCCTATTGAATTCTGAGGTTCCTGTTTCTAAGGGATGGTTGAGTCTGTTAATTTCTTTCATTTTTAAAGACCTTATGAAAATTTGTCCTTATTTTAGTGCAAATTTCTCTTAATACGTCCATTTTTGCAATGCAGTTTACTGTAAAACAATGCAGTTTTGTATGTTGTTTTCATCGATATATACATTTTCATAATTTAAATATACATTCATAAATATATACATGTATAAATATATACATATATACAGATACTTTAACCCCTGTTTATGCATTTCTGTGCACAAATCTTGGCTGTAGAACTGCATTGCAAAATCTGGAGTACAGCGGATTTCAAAAGATGGTTGTTTGGTTCCTCCATTGTTTCATAAAGTATGAATTAGGTAGGTTTGCCTTTAGATGCAAACTGAGATGAAATTTTCTCACACCCATGTTCAAAGTAGATATTTTACTACAAGGCTTTCACAATATTTGTATTTTTAAACACTGACCGTTTTACCTGATTTTGAGCACAATTTCAAGAAATTAGATGCGAAAGTGTTCACAAATTTTGGCTGAGGGTCAACTTAATGATGCTTGAAAGACACCACATGCTGAAGGCGGTGTAGGTGAAAATTAACATCCATTTTAGGTGTCAAAGTAAGTAAAATGTGTTTTTTGTACTGAATGCCATAGTTGCACTGGTCTTAGGTTAGAGCCAACTATTCATCAGCACCTTTGAACTTTATTGTATAGCCGTGTATATTTGAAATGCCATGACGTATTAAAATATCAGTTATTTTAATCAGAAAGCCAGTGCTGGCACAACATCTACACTGCAGAGTATCGATAATATTCACATTACTAAACATTGGCATTTAGGGATATTAATTTCAATGCCTCATATATTAAAGAGTTCCTTTGGGTAATCACTGCAGAGTTTCAGCATCCAAGAACTGCAACAACAGCTGTTAGTTGGGTAACTCCAATCAACCCTGCTTAGTATATACATTAAAAGCAGGTTGGAGCTTTTTCAAAAGAGGCAAAGTGGTTAATCTTTAAAACTTAGCTCTATAATAAACTATTGTGGCTAATTTGGCCCTCATATCCAAAGTCATGCAGTGCCATATCTTATTAGTTTATGCTGGCAGCAAGGCCTTGTCATGGACCAGAAACTGAATAGTGTGGTCAACATGCTAGCAACAATGCAAAGCACGTTATTCAAGGGAAGATGGGAAACCTTTTAAACAGAATCCACTATACAGCATCCTCTTTGCCAAAAGGGCATTAGGGCTTAAAGAAAGCTAATTCAACCATCTCTATGTGTCTTGTCCTACATGTTTTGAGATGGGCAATGGTGGTTACTCACCAGCAAGGAAAGTCATTCTTTAAGCAATCAAAGGCATTATCTTGTTCATCATTGTTTTGTATATTCCAGACTTCGCTGTTCCTGCAAAATCAGCAGCCTGCTAAACCCTCATTAGAGGGAGGTGATTACAGCTCTATTTTGAGTAAAGCTCTAGTGCAGTGGTTTTTCAAATGTACTTACTTCATAGGGAAAACTACATTAATTTATCTGTTCAGGAACCTCTAACTGCCTGACCCAGAGCTGAAGGTACGTTGGACCTCACCATCATGTGGAATGAAATGTGAGTTTGGCCTAGACCTAAAACATACAAAACATTCCCACGTGGCTTTGTATTGCCAGGGGAGATTGTTGATGATGGGCCAGATTTTTGCCTGCCATCTGCAAATGTTCACCTGAAGAACTGCAGATTTTCCCACAGTGTGACGAAAGATGCCCTGGTAAATTATTTCGAACTGCAACTTGCAATTCAGTAGTCAACCACATGGCTCAATACTCAACAGGTGAGATGTCCCCTGTGTATAAGCCCTGAGAAATTTGCAAATGTGCTAGAAATAATAACTTATGTTTCCCTAACTGAAGCCATGCAAATCGGTTTCGGCTAAATACTTTGGAAAGAGGTGGAACTCTAGCAAAACCTGAAACTACACCTTCCAATAAAATGCCATGCAAAAGTTATGCAAGACATAATGAGCAGGAAAATTACAGTGCAGTGAAACATCTGCCAGTTACAGCAATCAGAAGAATCCTAGCCTTTGTAAACAAGCTTATAAAAGTGTGGAGACTCCCAAAGATGCTCAAGATGAAATAGCAACTGGAGGTGGAAAGGATACCTGATTTTTTTACACATCAGTTACGACAAAACTACTTATTTGCAAATTCCCGGATGATGCTTTTATATGCTTATTTGCTTACTTTCAAATACATTCATGTTACTTTTTGTAATACCAAACTGAGTATTTGAAAAATATCTGCTAGTGAAAAGATGTGTGTAGTATTACCGGTGGTAACGTGTGTAGTATTACCTGTATACCTGAACGAGCGCGTCCACCCCCATCGTTCAGCCCAGACACTAAGGTCCAGCGCCGAGGGCCTTCTGGCAGTTCCCTCACTGCAAGAAGTAAGGTTACAGAGAACCAGGCAGAAGGCCTTCTTGGTAGTGGCGCCTGCCCTGTGGAACGCCCTCCCAACAGATGTCAAGACAATAAGCAACTATCTTACTTTCAAAAGACATCTGAAGGCAGCCCTGTTTAGAGAAGTTTTTAATGTTTAATGCTGTACAGTGGTACCTTGGGATGCGAACGGGATCTGTTCCGGAGCCCCGTTCACATCCTGAATAGAACGTAAGATGCGATGGCGCGTCTGCATATGCACGGGTCATGTTTTGCCGCTTCCGCACATGCATGTGATGTCATTTTGAACGTCGGCGCATGTGCGAGCGGTGAAACCTGGAAGTAATGCGCTCCGTTACTTCTGGGTTGCCGCGGAGCGCAACCCAAAAGCGCTCAACCTGAAGCACATTCAACCTGAGGTATGACTGTATTGTGTTTTTAATATTTGGTTGGGAGCTGCCCAGAGTGGCTGGGGAAACCCAGCCAGATGGGTGAGGTATAAATAATAAATTATTATTATTGGCAGTAGTAGTATTATGAAACTTGCAGGGCATTTTACATCTGCTCTCTAGGTCACCATACTTAAGTAAAATATGTTTCAAGAGGCAGACCCAATGGGGAGACTGATACCTTACATCTGGTGTAAGGAGACTGAGGTCTCACCTGCTAGAGTGATATGTGCATGGACAGATTTACATTAATGGATTTGCTCAGTCCCTAGTGTTCATTTTCTACAGAATGGGGTGATTGGGCTGAAAAGACGGCTGATGTAGCAGCGTAGATGATACCACTCCAAGCTGCATTTTTATTAAATTACTATTAGTTTAAAAATCTCTGCAAATAGACCTCCAGCACTTGAAGCAAAATGTGGTGATAAAAGCCTTCCTGTTACATGTGCCAGTTTTATTTTTATGAGGTGTTTTATTATGTGGGCACACATTCCAAAGCCACATCCCACCTGTACTATGAAGTAGTACAGTCCATTCTACAATTCTATCACTCTACCTCTTATTCCTATCTCATTCTGCTGCATGTGTTGACCTACCATAAATAATTGGATTTTCTTATCATGCATGATCAATTTGCTTTCACAATGTATTTTACCCCAAATGGAACTGTGCACGTGTTTCTACTGCAATTTCTGTTCATTTTGAACATTTGAAGAGAGTGGCTCATGCCTTAAATTTGTGTCACAAGTCTTTAAAGTACCAAATAACTTCCTTATTTGGTGTGTGTGTGTGTGTGTGTGTGTGTGTGTGTGTTTTAATAAAACCAAAGAAAGTTACTTTTGTTCTCATTTCAAAGCTCATGTTTCTATAGGAAGTACTTGGACAGTTTGGATCTTTCTTCAAGTGGGGATACAAAACAGAATAAAAAGGTCTTTTGTGAAGGTGGTAATAATCAAAACAATCTGTTGCAACTCCAATAAAAGTATTTAGGGTGATAAAGTCAAAAGTAAATAGAAAAGCTAAAAGATACGTTCTCTGTAATGGCTCAAGGGTCTATTCCAAGGATGGGAAAGATCCCAAGAATCTAAAAATACTTCCCTTTCTGAATTTGTCTGCATTTTATAACGTATGAATAGCACTTCACCATCTGCACTATGCATTTAAAGTGCTATTGTGCCACTTTGAAGAGTCATGGTTCCCTCCAAAAAATCATGGGAACTAAAGGCAGGTGGAAAGGGAAGCTTTGCACTGGTGGGAGGCCAGCTGAGCTGGCAAAAGAGAACAATCCTAGAGGACCACAGATCCCAAAATAGTAAGTAGGAAAATGACATCATTTACTCCAAGGCACCACTTCCTAGGAGAAAAGAACCAGGTATAAGGGGTGTCTGTGTTTATATGAAAGCAATTTTGCTTTATTTAGATCAATTTACCACTCAAGATCTAAATTTGACACGTTAGACAGGGTTGTGTATGGGGCAAACTTTTTGCTCAAGATTCAGCAAGCTTTGTAGTTAAGTGAATGGATTCTGAGATCAAAGTGTGGAAACTGTTTTCTAATAGGGTGGTGGGGTTAGAACTGGGCAAGACAGGATGAGAAAATTGTTGAATAGCCTTGGCTGGTTGGTTGTATGGTTATCAATATAATGTCCATTGCCAGGAATAATATGACTCAAGGGGCCTGGGAGATTTTATAAATGATCTGAAAAAAGGACAATTACAATGACCCCTACCAAGGGAAAGATTCCCATGGTGGGCATATAGTTACTTGGCATATTATCATTCTATTGCCTTGCCACATTGTGTGAAACCATTTTACCATAGTTCTCTACCTGATCAGAAATGTAGGCAATGGTCATCTCTAGCCATAAACTTGTGTGGGGCCTTCTAGGTTGTCAAACATGTAGGAATTTCTACCTCTGAGCCTGATTGATCACCCATCCCTGACTTATTGTAAAGCAGATTTGAAATTTCTAAGGAAATGTTTTTTCTGGAATTTCTGGGTGGGGTGTTTTTCATAGGTGATTGTGCAGAATGTTATGTAGGAGAGAGAAGGAGATACTGCTGTCACTTGCAGCAACAATAAAAAACAAAATGCAACATCTGGATACAACAGAAAGAAGCTGTGTTACTATCACTGCTAATATTGAGAAAATGGAGAAGGTATGATGGGTGTGTGTGAAGTATTTGTGCACAAGTCTTGCCCTGTTAGAAGCAGTGGCTGATGGTGCTTTGAGTGCCTTTTTCCAGCTTAATAATACATTCCTTGCTCCTTTTCTGGTAGCAAAAACACTCTGACTGAAGCACATAAACATTGCAATTCATGTATATTAAGGTGCTCCTCTAAAACTCTCTGTGTCACTGTCATTTTCTAACATTTCTCCAAAAGTTCCATTCTGTTGTTTGTGAATGTGGATTTGGCTGCTGTGATTGCTCTTTCCTGTTCTTCAGATTTTGCTTCCTTTTTAATTAGGTAGTGTAAAAATGGCAGCTATGCACAACCTGTTGCTTTAGCAGGAACATCTCTTGGTAGATTCAAAGCCTGTTATAGGCTTTTCATTATGTTCTGCAGACTGTGTTGCTTTATCAAAGTCTTAGAACATTAAGCATAGTTATTTGGGTTTCATCAAAAGAGCAAGGATGGACTAACATGGATGTAGCTGGGGGGGGGGAGTCAGGGGGCACCTGCCACCCTCAGATCAAGAAAACAATAGAAATACTTAACTAACTGACCAATTATGCCGGTTCTGCGCCCCCAACCAAGTCCTGTCCCCTAACAAAAATCCTTGCTACACCCATGTAGACTGAGTAATAATAATGTCAGCTGACCCAGTTCAATCACAGTAGTTGTGAAGACAGGTACTACATGTTTGAGACAGAGCTTTCCATACACTTCCTTGGGGAAAATGTTTTATCTGAAACTAAAAGCCAAGGTAAGGATAAACAGAATTGGTCTCACGTGCTCAAGGGCCTCCATGATGCTGTGACAAGAGACCTCTTCTACAAAACTTTCCACTTGACCAACAACCATGAGAAAATTGACAAGTAGAAAAGCAATATTGGCAGTCACACACACCAAAACACTATCCAGGACAAATCTTCAGAGTGCTGCTGTGATGATTGTGGCTGCCTTGCTGGTTTAGTACAGCTGTTGATAAAGTTAACCATATGCTAACCCTTTCTCTTAACCCAGCAATGTGGGTTCTGATGGTGATAATCTTTTCAATGGTGTGCATAAGTTAAGTGCATTAGGCATGTAGATTCCAGTGCAGGAGAGTGCCACTGAAGAGGTAATCAAGGATACCTACATGGAAACTTCAAACAATGTTGTTAACCATGAAGTGTTTGCTTCCCCACTTCCCCAATCTGTGAAATGCGAATAACAGTGACCTTCTTCCTTAACAAATTTGCTTTGAAGGTGACAGGGAAAAGCATATTTAGAAGAAGAAGAAGAAGAAGAAGAAGAAGAAGAAGAAGAAGAAGAAGAAGTAGTTTGGATTTGATATCCCGCTTTATCACTACCCGAAGGAGTCTCAAAGTGGCTAACATTCTCCTTTCCCTTCCTCCCCCACAACAAACATTCTGTGAGGTGAGTGGGGCTGAGAGACTTCAGAGAAGTGTGACTAGCCAAGGTCACCCAGCAGCTGCATGTGGAGGAGCGGGAAAGCAAACCCAGTTCACCAGATTACGAGTCGACTGCTCTTAACCACTACACCACACTGTGAAAGTGATATATAAAGTAATAATAAACTTTGAATTATTTCTAACTGCCCCTTTTGTTTTGCCACAAAACCTATATGTATCCAATTGGAGGAGAGGCATATGATACTAGGAAAAAGAAGCTAATTCTGTCTTGCAGTTTTGGTTTAATCATCGTCGTTATGCTTGGTTATATTTTTAGTCATCATGAATACTACAGCTTGAGTTTTCTTTCCCATGGAAATTAAAACAAAGCTATATTTTACCATAATAGAGAAATGGCAAACTCTGTTACCTATGATAACTCGGTTCTTAGTTATATGTGTTTAGTTATAAGCTGCAAAATGATAGATGAAGCCATTTTTTGAAAGTGAGAGATTATAAAGATTAAAGACTGTGGTGACTTATCAAAATCTCTAATGCTTCCTTTTTGCTGTTGCTTTTAATTCTTATCAGTGACACAGCATAAACTCCAACATATTGGATTGAAATGCCATTTATTTTTATATAGTCCCACTATTGTGCAGAAAAATATTGAATTTTGTAATTTGATGAACCAACATCCTACTGAGCATTAGTTATAGAGGCAAATAAAACTCAATATGCTGTGTCATAATGGAAGATAAAATTAGGGGAAACAGTTCACCAGCTTTATTTGGAGTGGTAGCCAAACATAATTTGGCCCATAAAACATGAAACTCGTGCATTTTTTGATAGGGGAGAAATGTCCTAATTGAATAATATGCAAGCCATAGTAACAAATTATATCAATTACTGCTAATCTTGGCTGTTACCAGAGTAATTCAACCATGTGAGAGAAGCACACTTGGTCCCACTGAAGCCATACATATTATATTTCTCTCCTTCAGCCTAAGTTGAGAGTGTCTCATGAGCAGGCATTCCAACAATCATATGTTATTTTCCTCATGAGGCTGTGCCAATGGGGTAACTTTTCATGGCAAATTTTAAATGTATGAATTTGAGTATTGTGTGAGAGATAATATTCTTGGTGCACACAGCAAAATGACCAACTCCCATGACCCACTGACAAAGAAATAAGGTAGTTTGAATGATGCAAAATGGTCATCACAATGGCATGTTGCCCATGAAGTCATATCAGCATAGCTGTAACTGTGTTGTCTGCTGTAGCAAAAATGAAGTGCCTTGTTGCATCTTAAACAGAGTTACAGTGGTACCTTGGGTTACAGACGCTTCAAGTTACAGACGCTTCAGGTTACAGACTCCACTAACCCAGAAATAGTACCTCGGGTTAAGAACTTTGCTTCAGGATGAGAACAGAAATCGCACAGCGGCGGCAGCGTGGCAGCAGCAGGAGGCCCCATTAGCTAAAGTGGTGCTTCAGGTTATGAACAGTTTCAGGTTAAGAACGGACCTCCAGAATGAATTAAGTTCTTAACCCGAGGTACCACTGTATTGTAGTATTTAGAGTTTCAGCAAATGCAGGCAGTAAGCAAAATCCTTGGTTGGTGTGTGTTTGTGTGTGTGTGTGTGTGTGTTTGGGTATAAAAATGGGAGCAGGGCAAAATGACAATGAAATACAGAAGGTGCAATGTTTGTTTACGTTATGCACTCTGTCAAAGGCTGATGTGTATTGGGAGGTGCATCGCATTATTCAATGAATCTTTGCTAGACTTAGCACAGAAAGGTGTACAGGTCAATTCAGTGAATATGATCTAGAAGAAGATCTCAGATTTTCCTCAGAGACGCTATGTTTATATTCTTACATTAAGTAATTTCAAAAACATATTTGCTGAGGTGTGTCAGGAGAAATGCTATGTAACTGCAAGAAGATTTTTAATTTCCCCTAAATTGGCTTCCCACACAGAAAACAGTCTGGGTTATTTTTGAAAGAATGTCTGAAAGGAAGGAAGACCTCAAATAAATTAATATTAGCTTTCAGGACTTTGATCTAAAAGGATCTGCTTTCTAGCTACTCTTTCCTTCTGTCTCCAGCCACCTAAACATTCATCCTTTTGTATCATGTGTGGATATCTCAGTTTGGTTTTACGTTGTAGATTGTTTTGCTGCCCATTGTCTGTGGATTGTTTTTATGTGCACAGCTTAGAAATACAAATAATAATAATTTCCACTTTGCCTATCTAGATGGATCAGGGGTATAATGATAGAACAATCTCATAGGACCCAGAGGAGGAGCTAGCTGTGCACCTGGGGGGGGGCTAGCCACCCACAGGGGCGGGACAAGCAGCGAGCATCCCATAGGGGTGGCAATGTCACCTCCCCTCAGGGATGACACCCGGGGCAGGGCAGGCTGCATCCACCACACTCCCCTTCCTCCGCCAGTGATAGGACCATAGGAAGCTGCTTCAGAAAGTGACTCTTTCCCATCCCTACCTGGAGATTCTGGGGAATGAACCTGCAACCCTCTACTGCTGAACTAAAGCCCTTCCTCTGTTCATTCTCCTCCATGTTCTTCTTGCTAAGAGAAGTCTGCTTTCTTTTGATGTTTTGCCAGCCTGCTTTTTCTTTTCTTTTAACTTGTTTTTTCTTTTTTAAAGTTAGAATTGTCCAATTATAATAAATAGCCTAGAAGCTATTTAACGCTGATGTTACCAAAATTACTACATCAGATTTCACTGGCTGTTTTGAGTCTATAATAACGTAATGGTTTCAACCATTGCAAGGTGGCAAAAAACACCACCACCCCAGGCCTCGTATATCCTTGTGCCTTTCTTTTGTGTGATCTTATGCCATTAAATAATGCAGGTTACAACATGCCAGGACATTCTCTTTGACAGAAGAAACACACAGTCACACACAGCATTGTCGCTCATTTAATTGATTGGACGTTTGTATTCTTTCCTAAAAATGCCAGAAATATACAGAAATGATTTCTCTTATATTTTTCCAAGCAGAAAATGTAATGACATAAACTGGATTAAGCATGTAATATCCTTATATCTGCTGCCAAGTCTCCCCTCCTAATTTAGTATTCAATCATTATAATACAGGCCCTATATCCATATGTATATACAAATGATGACATTGTTGGTAGAGATGGACTAGCTCCCATTGGTCTGACTTGGTCAGGTCCATCAAATCCAAGTCTCTTTCAAAATAAATAAATAAATAACCTCTGCCTCCACTTCCAAATTTGGAACTGTTGTGCTCCTGATTGCACCACTATATCTCCCCTGGGAACTGGGTGCTGCAGCATAGATAACAAAGAAGGCTGGCTTGTGGTTTTCCTGGGAACATCTCCCTGGCTACTGTTGTAACGCATGACGTAGAATGACACTTGTTAATTCAACAATCTTTTTTCTTTGTTATTGTTCTTACATGTAATACAATCATGGAATGCTTTCCATTAAGAACATAAGACAAGCCTGATGGATCAGGTCAATGGCCCATCCAGTCCAGCATACTGTTCTCACAGAGGCCAACCAGATGTATGTGGGGAGCTGGTGTCAGAGACGGGCAGGACACTGATGAATGTGCACTGGAGGAGGGGAGGGATGGAGTCTGACTTGAGAGAGGAGGTCAGTGATTTGTGGGGAGATGTACCGGCAAGGAGGCAAGAGTCGGAAGGAGAGGAAGCTTCAGAGCTGGAGGGTGGAGCACAAGATGGGAGACCCATCCAGATAAAGGTAAAGGGTAAAGGGACCCCTGACCATTAGGTCCAGTTGTGACCGACTCTGGGATTGTGGCGCTCATCTCGCTTTATTGGCCAAGGGAGCCAGCGTACAGCTTCCGGATCATGTGGCCAGCATGACTAAGCTGCTTCTGGCGAACCAGAGCAGCGCATGGAAACGCCATTTACCTTCCAACCAGAGTGGTACCTATTTATCTACTTGCACTTGACGTGCTTTTGAACTGCTAGGTTGGCAGGAACAGGGACCGAGCAACAGGAGCTCACCCCGTCGCGGGGATTCAAACCGCCAACCTTCTGATCGGCAAGTCCTAGGCTCTGTGGTTTAACCCACAGCGCCACCCGCGTCCCATGGGTGGGGTATAAATAGTAAACCAACAGCAACAACAACAATGCAAGTTGGTTACCGTCACTGCCACCTGTGGGAGTGCGTTCCATAGTTCATGTGTTGCAAAAATATTTTCTCTTATCTGCACCAAATATTTCAACATTCCTCTGAGATATTATTCGACTTCAAGTCCCATCAGCCCCAGACAACATGTCCAACGGTCATGAACGAAGGGAGTTGTAGTCAAATAACATCTGAGGGACACAGATTAGCAAGTTCTGCCCTATAGTTTTGAGAATGAAAAAAAAGAGGGGACATACAAGAGAGTTTATGATTTTAGAAGCAATAAACAGATAATTTTTCTCCACCATTCATAATGCAAGGCTTTGGGATCAGCTGATAGCATGTAGTAAAATCAGATTTTGTTGTCAGGAGTTTATGTGACTAGAATTATTAGTATTTTCACCAGCAATTATTAAGGAATAAATTGTACCTAATAGGCTAGCAGCATTGTAATTCTGAAAGAGTCACTCTTACTTAATGAAGAGACACAAGGACTGCTTTCTTTAAGTAGCAAAATATTTTGTTTGATTAAAAGTTAATGAGATTTAGGCAAATAATGACCGCTAGTTGTTTATATTCAATTGACCGACTATTTCATTATTGCAAATTAGGATTCTGATGTCTGAAAAGTTTATGGCACATTGCATCTGATGAGATTGCCCACCAAAACAAAGTCACCACTGGAAGAATTGTGTATCTAAGGTTGCAGGTCTAACCACACTTTTATGTAATCATCTTCATCCAAGCACATTTATCAGGATTTAGTAGTAAATTTACATGGCATTTACTTCCATGTAAGCCTGCTTAGGTTATCACCCAATAGTTTTGAGAGGTCTATTGCATGCAGAATATTATGGAAAACTCCACCCTGCTTTCTTGTTCTACAGCCAAACTCCACTCCTGAAGGTATATGGGAGGTATAGTCCTTGTTCTTGGTGCAAAATGCCTGGATTGAGGCCAATATGTTTTTGGACCAGGTCTGTGGTCCCTTATCCTATGGGCAAGTCCTTGGTCCTAATTTTCACATTTAAACAGCTTACACAATGTGACCTACTTATGAAGCATGAGGAAATAACTTGCACAAGTCACGATACAGAGGTTTCTGAGTTTGGAATGTACCCTGCTCACAAAGGTTGATAAGACTCTGCCCCCTCATCGTACATGACAGCATTCATGCAAAATGTCCACTTGCATAATCTTCCAAATGTGCAAGTCAAATGCAGCAGGTACTATAGCTCAATCGGTTTTCTGGATGTGCTTGCATAGAAGCTTGTGAAGTGGCTTGGATGTTCATTCAGAGAGTCTTCAGTGTACTCCACCATACTCTCGCCTTAACATTTTAGATGGGAGCAATATCAAGGCTAGCATGGGCCAAGCAATCTATATAACCAGAAGTATGATGACAGTGAGAGTTGTCTTATACTTAGGGAATGGGGGGGGGGGGGAATTCGGTTTGTATACCATCTTCACCTAATTTGCACTTCTCAAGGTAATACACAATCTGAAATGCAGCTCTCCTTAAATATCTGCATTTCTTCAGATTTTGCATTGCGGTTCTCTAACCGAAATGGTCAATACATTGTTGACGTCATCCAACCTCCCCCTCAAACTTTGTGCAAACAAGTTAGGATAAATGCTCAATAAATGGGTCATCTGGAAGCAAGCTAAGGTACCTGAGTTTGATGGCATTCTACTGCAATTTGGGGAAAAAATATTTATGATAGGGTATACATTTCACTCACATTCTCTTTGTTTCATTTAATATGTGTATTAGTCAAACAAAGTTGTAGAGGACAAGCTTTGCCCTGTAACTATATTACTAGCTTCTGTCTTGTTTTATGACATAAAAATCTAACATCAAAGAATCCTGTCTGGGAAATGCCCAGACTCGCTGGCTTCAAAGAGCCAAAACTGGTTTTTGGTGGGGTTTTTTGTGCACCGGAAATTCTTCTATGGTATTGTGCATGCCTACTTAGCAAATCCGTAGAAAGCTTCAGGCAGCATTTCAACCAGCTCACAGCACAACAGTAGGTCCCAATGAATTCAGTGCAGCTTCCTCTTGGGTAAGTGTGTATAGGATTTCAGCTGCAGTTTCCTTGTGAGCAGATGGTAAAAAAGCTTATGGTGGTTTTGTATGGCTAGTCTTCATTCAGCACCATTCCTTCAAAAGCAACAACATACCTTTGCTGCTTCCAGAAAACTGAATATTGGTAGGACACCAAAGCAGACTTTGTTATGTAGTTTGTAAGAAAACAGGTGAGAGAAACCTGTCTTTTGGCTTTAACACCAAGGAAAGCAGGATGTAATGCTCTTCCTACAAAAGAAATTCCTTACACATAGATGATTGCCTTGTTAGGAAGAAAACTAACCTCTTTTGTAAACTGAACATTCAGTTATGCGATTCCTCCACAATAGTAAAGGCTAGCACAAGTTTACATTCTTAGGTCCTGTTTTGTGAGGATAAAGCCTTGACCACACAATCTCTTACTGGCCTGATTCAAATTTTCCTCATTCTCCACCCCTCACCCCCTGTTTCTGTGTTACACACATTCTCAGCAGAATCCTCTTCCCAAACCCAATGTGCCACATTTCAGCCTCCAAGAACATCAAGTAACCATCCTTATGCTTCAGCCAAGAACCTTTTAACTGTAAAGATATACAGCAGCCCGAAAAATAGTTATGTTTTCACTTTGAACAGATAGAACTGTGATAATATTGAAGAAATCATTGAAGGAGAAAGCAGTTTTAGAAGTAATAACATCCAAGAGCTGAAGCATTAGGTTAGAAAGAAGAAAAGAACTGTCTGCCTTAACATGTCAGAGAGCAGCTAATTTCAAAGTTGAGTTGTCAAAATTCTCCATGCTTACAGTTTGTCTACAAGTAGTAATTGGAGACAAAGTGAACCTTACTCTGATGGGAACAAATCTACCCCACAACTCCAAAATATGTCTCCTCTTAACAGATTTGCACCAAATGTCACAGAGAATAGGGTTTACTTCCAGTGGATTAAAATATAGAAGATGGTACATTTTCCTCAAAGTAAGGGAAGGGAAGGTTCCTCTAAATTTAAGGATGTGCAGTTTGTACAGAATGCCAAATATCAGTTCATCCAAATCTGTAAGAAGACATCTAGTGTCTCTCCCCTCCCCCAATAAAATAAATCCTGGAAGTATTTTCCCCACAAAAACATTAAATGACAAAATGGTTGTGACACTAAAAGGTGGCATTGAAATCAGGTGTTCCATTTGACTGGCAGGGCTACAGTTTCTCAAGAGTCATTTCTATGTCTCAAGTGAAATGGCTGCTGAGAAAAATCTATTCATGGTGGAACTAAAGTGGTCATGACAGCTTATTCTTAGTTTATCATTCACAGCTGGTGAACTAAACGAATTTATGCCAAGTAAGCTCTTACTTCTAACAAAGTAACAAAATAAGGAGATAATTGCAAAAGAAGCTTAAGCTTTTCACAGTTTGATGCAAACATATTAAATGGTGTGACTGACCTTATGTAATACCATAACTGAACTCATAAATGTCAGCAAACATATTCTTTAAAGCAATCAAATATCTGGGCAGCTACAAATTCCACAGCAAGAAAGCAAACAGTTCTTCTCTTGCTTCAACATCAGTGGTGAGTCTGGCTTACCAATGCTTGGATTCTAAAATAAATTTCTGGCACATTTTATGAGCTTCAGTAGGAACTTGAGTGAAACCTCACCCTAACCACTGTAGCTTTGCATGTATGATAGGCTTGGGGTTGTTTTATTAGGAGTATAAATGCCACTAGATGGGACTGAATTTGGCTGAGAGAACATCAAAAAACTTTGATGACGATTGTCTGTCTCTCAACAGAACAACAGAACTTACTGAAAATCCACTTGTGATGGAAGGTAACTACATTTGAGCTTTAATGTTCCAATCTTAAATGTTTGTTTTGCCATAATATTAATGGAAAATTGACACGGCATTGTGCTTTGTAAGTTTAATATTTGGAACAGCAGTTGGACGCTAATTGAATAGGATGCTGAGTTGCTGAGTTATTTGTTGGTGCAGCTATTGTGTCAATAGCAAAGGCACAGGGAAATGAAAATTGCTAGCATGAACCAGACTATTGGGCCATTTAGCTCAAGTTAACTGGATGTGCTAAGGAAACTCAAATGAAATAATGATGGCATTTGTTTCCCCCTTCTTTGAACGTGGAGGTTCTGTTTCTGGCTGTTGCAGCCAATTGTCTGATGGACAGGTGAACATACGGAAAGTTTAAGAAAATATGCAGATTGCTTCTGTTACATAATTAGGTTGTCATTATTCACATCCTTATCCCATTATGTATGTATAGCTCAACATTTAGCAGTCATAATATTTTATATTGTTCTGATGGTTTTTTATATTATATTTTTAATGGGTGGTTTCCCATGTTATTACTGTGCAGATGGAAGGCATCCATCAGTGGAATGGGAAGGAATGCAATTTTGGGTTATTTCCCTTCCCCCAACAGCCCCCTCATGCTTTTCTCTAAATCTGCTCTAGAGTGTTAGGGAAATCCAACTTTATGGAGCAGATCTGGTAAGATTGGGCGAGGGGGGTGGGACACTTGCAAAACAGAAAACACAAAAAACCCCAACTCCTCTCCATTCCATCAGCAGAACAGCACCACTAGATTTCATCCTTTGCATATTTTATCAATGCCATCAACTGCTTTAGCACTTCTGCATTGAAAAAGGTCCATAATCATAATAATAGCAATAATAATTCAGGCTGTGTATCTGGCAAGAAGAAAAATTCTGTTAATGTGTCAGTTTGCTCATTTGTTGTATTCTGTTTCTGTAGGAAATCTGAGATCTAGGCAGCCTGTGAGAAGTGGGGGGTAGGAGTTGTTATGCTGTCCAGAGCAGCAGTAACAGCATAATAGCAATTAAATCTAAGATGACAGAGAAAAAGTGATGAGAGCCAAGGTGCTAAAATGAGCACAAAGCCAACATATAGCACCCAGTATGGGGGAACCAGCTGTGCTGCCCTAAATCTGGTTATGTTTGTATAATCAGAGGCAATAGGCTGTGTTTCCATCTAGTACGGATACTTTTAAAGGAAATAAAATATTGTCTTCTAGTGAATGGAAGCCAAAGTTAGGTGGCATGGGAGACATCATCACTACAGTGTGACATTGAATCAGTACTATTAGAAGCTCAGCTCTAAGATCAGAATTTGCTAATGTCCTGCAGTGCATGGCAAATAAGAACTTTATATACTAAGCTGTGCATGTAAATCCATGATTAACCTGCAATGTCCCTTACATTGACATCGCGATTGATTTCATCAGCGCATTTCCAGACTCATGCAGAGCAGTTACACAAGAAAACTAATCGTTCTGTACAAAGGGTTGCAAACCTGACATTACACAGTATTAGTAGAAGAAGATCAAAGCTGGTTAAGCTTTGCACCTGAGGAGTGTGAAAATGTAAAACTCTGTCTCCTGCCATCTTTCCTTTTTTAAACAGCCCTTGAAATGCACATGGAGCAGAGCAGCATAGTGCATACATTTGTTCAAGGAATTTCTAAGAAACGATAGAAAACACACACACATAGGCGCAGAGATATAGCTACATAACTTCTAGATGGAGTGTTCTAGCAGCTTAAACCATGACAAGGGTGAGGAACCTGAGGCCCCTCAGATGTTCTAGGACCAATAGTCAGGGATGATGGGAATTGTAGTCCAATAATCTCTGGAGGACCCTGAGTGGATGTGAAACATAGTTAAAATATGATGTATGCTGACATTAAATTGTACACTCTAGAGAAGAAGACTCCCCTTGGGAAGCTGTGATGCTTTTTATCTCTCAAAACAGTATAGTATTATGCACCTTCTTCTAACAGTCAATGAATAACAGTATGTTCCTGAGGTAACAGTCTTAATGGTATGTTGCAGCAGAGACAGCACCTTTAGGTGATATCTTATGGCATCTAAAAGATAATAAATTTATTACGGCATAATCTTTTGTGGGCACCTTAATCAGAAGCATGATGTAGTCCTCTAAGGAAGCAGACAGTGCACTTCAGTGTTGCTTAATTACTTCTGTCGCTAAACTTGGATGGATTATACAAAGCCTCAAAACTTTGTTAAAAAATATGTTAACACTAAGCTCCACAAAAATTCATAAACAAAAGGTAATAAGTGTCGTATATAATGAATTCCTCGTGGAAAAACTATATAAAAGAGAATGAAATCCATTTTAATCTTCTGGAGCAACCTTTCAGTGCAAGAAAAGAGAGCATTCTCTTTCATTTGTCAACACCTCAGTTTTTGTTTGTTGATTCAAATGACAATTTTGAAAAATGCTAATAGCCACATGTAGAGAAAGGGGGTGGGGAGGAGACAGATGGACAGACAGGTGTGTTTGTTTGTGTGTGTGTGTTTGTCACAGCAAAAGCATAGAATGGAACCTTGTGTTCCTTCAAAGAAGCATTTGGGTTCCATTATATGCTTTAGCTTAATTGATTCAAGATGTACCTTGTGGTGCTCAGAATACCCCCCCCCCCCAGGAATAATTGTATGGATTACAATAGGATGTGGAAATCAGAAAAAGGGACTTTTTTCATTAAGGATAATAACATGTCTATTCCTTGCAGTTTGAAAATGATTAAAAGAGACATATGAAACTAACGCAGAAACAAAAATGTGTGCATATTTATTGCTTTCCTTAGCCTTCTTCACATCTTCAAAAGTGTGGCTTGTCAATGTGTCACAGTGAATGGGTTTGTGGCAGCTCTCCTCCCTCTCTTCCCTGCACAATGTTTTGGTCGGACCTGGATACACAAAGCTGGTGCTCATATATACTCATATGTTATGCAGGGTCTGTACATGTGCCTGGTTATGAAGGCATGAAAAAACATTTTTCTGGAAAGATTATTGCGGGGGGTGGGGCTGGTTCCGATTTTTAATTTGCTGCAGACTAAGTACAACATCCTAATAAAAACTGGTATGTTAATCACATTCAACTCAGAAATTTTAATTAACCACCACTGTCTTGTTGCTGATGTGCTTCTCAGGTTCACATCAGAGCTAAACAAAACTATGGCACACTCATTGGGTTGGACTCAGAAGTTCCTTGCATAAGAAGACAGATATGTTTGTTTTTCCTGAAGTTCCCCTAACTCTCAGAATCCGTGTTCAGAGAATATTAGAGCCCCATACTATTTATGGAGCTGTGGAGGAGATATTGGAAGCCCCATATCACTCATGGTGCTGCTAAGTTGGGGGGGGGATTTTAAAAATTATTTTAAATATTCATTAATCGGTCCCATCATTATTTGTTTTCCTGCAGTCCTTGAGGTGAAAAATGTAGACCTAAACTGTGCTCAGAACTGCAACAACCACCACACACAGTTTTTTAGTTCTAATAAACTAATTGTGAGAAGAGGCCAGCTGTTTGGGTTCTATGTGCATTTCCAAAACCGAGAATGGGATGATGACAGGGACAAGATCACATTCACGGTGGCAACAGGTAATTCTTTTATATGATAACAAACGTGCTCCGTAAAGTCACTAGAGGTCTTATGTTAAAAGCTTTAGTGTTTAGGGAGAACTTCTGTTTACTGTATTCCTAATGGTTAAGTATCACCGATTTAGAGCTTTTGTTACAATCAGGTGGTATGTCAATTTTGTTAAATAAAATGTATCATACAGGATTGATTATCTTTGAGCTACTTCATACCTATTTTCTCTGCATTAGCTGATGTTGGCACAGTTATGACAAAGAGTCGTATTCATAGAAGTCTGCAGAGCTTTTTCTGTCAAAGGAGAACACTGAATGAACATGAAAAAAAATCATTTTCATGGAACTATTCATAGAATTCCCTTAATACACTTCGCCAACAGTAGATGGATCACACAGATAGATAACCTTTCTGAATATTTCAGTAAGCCAAAAACAACCTGTGTGTTGACTTGTGCAGCTTTAGCCTATGCTTGTCTACTCAAAGTAAGTTTCTGTGATTTTAGACAAGGTTACTCCCAAGTAAATAGGCATAGGATTGTTATTGCATTGAATGTATGGGGTGAAATTGCAAAAAACAAAAACAAAAACAAAAGCCAAACCAAACCAAACTAAACCACCCAAAATATATATTTATAAAATTGCATGCAGTTATTAGAAAAAAATGAAAAGAACAGACCCCACTTACTTTCAGAATTTAGTAAAAAGAGATCCATACATATTGTATCATGTTCATTCTTTGATCTTCAGAGGACCTTAATTCTAAAGATACAAATTTTTGCTCATCTTTGGAAGCCAGCCATTATCTTCATTCATTCTCCTACGGTTCTTTGAAGTTCAGCATCGTATTAATCTCACAAAGTTTTGCATCTTTATTCTTTCACCAACAATTGTAAATAAGTTTAGGCAAAACAGTTCTTGCGTTCACTTCCTTTTTGAACAACTTTCTTGAACAGGTCCGAAACCCTGCGAATCTCTTGGAACAAAGAGCACCTTTCCTTTAGGGAAATGTCCAAATCAAAGCCACTGGAATGCTTGCTACAAACTCCATAATGAACAAAGCCTCCATGTCAGTCTGTTCCCTCCCGCCAGTGCCTGTATTGGCTGCTACACTCTGAATATGTGTCTGGTGTCATGTGAACACTCAAGCACCCAACATCTGGGAGACTTTTATGTTCTCTTCAACCCTTGGTGTTCTGGTAAGAATCAATAAGAAACTCCTTGTCTGGATAGTCTTGCTAAGCAAGTGCCTGCAGACACAGACAATTTGTGAGAATGTGTATTTCTGTAGTAGTAGTGGTGGTGAGGACAGACTTTTGAGTTGAGTCAGGAAACATATATATATAAGCAGATATTAGGCATGGGAGTACGTGGGATGTCAACACATCACATGCTTGTATACAGAAACAAATATACTGTATTAGCACACTCAAGGTAGTATCATACGATTAATGAAACTCTGGAAATGGTATTAGACCTTTTTGTATTTAATTTTAATTTTTTTCCCATTTTTTCCCCAATTTGAAATAAACATTTTACAAACTTATTAACATCCAATGACTCCCCTTCTTCTCTTTCCATGGTTCATTTTAAATATCTTCCATTCCTGCATATTTTACTCTAACCATTCAAGTCAGTTTTCCATTTTTACACCATTCAAACATTAATTACACTGTTGAATTCATCTTAATGCCACCAGCGCTTTCAGTTGTGTACAATTATCTTTCATATACTGTATTCAATAAACATTTTCCACTCTTCTTTAAATATATGTCCTTCCTGCTCTCTTATTCTATGTGCTAGACCTGCAAGTTCTGCATATTCTAACATCTTAAGCTACCAGTCCTCTTTGTCTGGGACCTCGCTCATTTTTCATTTTTGGGCTAACAAAACACAGGCCTGGTATTAGACATATTTTTACCAAACCATTCCTTAAACTGTAGCTATTGAAAGCAGTACTGCAAAGCAGCCATTTTGTTTATCCATTATTTGATGGATTCATTTGCAGCATGTAGATCCAAATTGGTTTGCCATATTTAAAGCATGCTTGATATTAGAGGCCTGTCCCAAAGGTATGATAATAAGGGGTCATTTACATATGCAACAAAATGATCTCATCACAGCTGAATGCATGAACTGCCTGTACTGGGGAAAATATAAATCTCATTGTTTTCTCAGATGACCCTGTCTATTTAGACAACCAAGCTCACAGAGAAGAGTATGTCCTGAATGAGCATGGGATTGTATTCCAGGGGCTTCCCAAACATGTAACTTCTCATCCATGGTATTTTGGACAGGTAAATGCAAGATTATGGCTCTTGAATGTATTATGAGTTTCACCTTAGTCTTTAGATTAGATTAATTATACTCTTGGACACAAATTGTCTATGGAAAAAGAGACGTACATAAAGTGCTTTCTATCCAATGGCTGTAGCCAGTGTTGCATATTTAAAAGTAAAATTCCCACACACTCTTTCATGGCAGTAAGCCCCGCTGAATCAGTAGGAGTTACTTCCATATAGTTACTTCCATGTACACACAGTTTCACAAATGGAGGGTGTGTTCATTGACTTAGTCCAAGCCTGTGTGTTAGTCCTTTGTCTGCAAGCCTCAGTGGAAGATAAATAAGAATATTGCCCAGGCAGCAGCTATCCCAGTCTCCAAATACACAGGTGTTTTTAAAACAGGTAGAAGCATACATTTTTGTACCCTTAAGTTTATATAACTTGGGGCCGAATTGCAAGTGAAATCCATTGAAATTAGCTCTAAAACACACGTCGCCCAACCCTGTGCATGTTTACTCAGAAGTAAGTCCCACGGTGTTTGATGGGGTTTGGTCTCGAGTAAAGTGTTTAGGGTTGTGGCTTCAATTTTGTGAAATTAGTGGAGTATCTTTCCTAGTAAGTGTTTTGCCTTATTGTACATTCATCCTTGTGTGTCTTATTGTATATTCATCTAATGAACAAGCCTCCCCAGATAGGAAAAAAGCCACAATAAACTTGATAAACCTTATGTCTCTTTCTTACTAAAGGATAGCCTTTAGTAATATGGTGTTCTGAGTGAGGACAAAATTTGGCTGCAAATGTTTCTTATTTTCACAATCATTCCTTTTGGTACAATTGCTTTTTAATGGATATTCTCAGTAGGTACCCATATAAATATAGGTTTAAGATGATAATAATAATAATAATAATAATAATAATAATAATAATAATGTTGTGCCCCCTTGCCTCAGCACCCTGTGGGGGAGAACTGCCTGAACTGCCCCAAATCAATTGCAGCTTCATTATTTCCTTAAAATGAAATAATAACCTTCACTGAAGCTTTGCAGCATGTACATTCATTTACATTTTAATCATTATTTGCCGAACCAGTTCAGTTAGAAGTTTCATGGGGGCGGGCGGGTGGAATTTATTGGTTGTTAGCTCTAATGCAAAGCCATCCTGTTCAAATTTCAAAAATGGCACTAACTCAACAAAGACACCCCTTTGACTTGAAAAGCAAAGTGAGAAGCAGTTATTTCTACTTATATTTAGCTAATCTACATTTCTTGGTGTCAGCTGCATTGATTGATTGATTGATTGATTGATTGTTGCCTCACATTTCCAGTTCTACAGATTCCTGGCAGTCCAGTAGTTGTCCTCTGCTATAACAGGGAAATTTTTGTTCTGAATATTTGTGTCACAAATGGCTTCAAAATGAGTGCTCATATTTTGTGTGTTTAGTTCCAAGATGGCATTCTGGATATCTGTCTGAAAATTCTGGACACAAGTACAAACTTCCTTCGTGATCCTGGCATGGATTATTCCTGTCGCAATGATCCCGCGTACATCAGCAGGGTGTTGAACAGTATGGTAAAGTTTGAGTACAGGACGTTTAATTGACTCTTGTGGATATGTTTGCCTATAACCACTCTTGGCATTGGTTTGCCTCTGTCTCTCCAGTCATTACTAGCTGCTGGCTCATCACAAATCTGTCAGCAGGCACAACCCCAGAGAAATTCCTAGGAAATGTGTGTTTGGCTTATGTAAATTGCTAAATTGCCCACTGATAGTCAGCTTTGCAAAAGTGACTGTGCCTGTTTTTGTTAACGTGGGGGAAATGGTTGTTATGACGATTGGAGAACAGTAGTACATCTCTTAAATGACAGCTCCCTGGCCCCGATAAATATCTCTTAAATCCCTGGCAGCAATAAGAACTGCAACAAACATTTATATATAAATATATATGAAAAATCACCCACCACCATCACCTTTAATAAGAAGCAGATGAATTTCTATTCCTAATAGTTTTCTGCTATGTTTCAGAAACCCATCTGACTTCTCCTAGACACTAGGCATTTGGTGTTGTTGGTTCCATGCTGTGGAATGCTGTTCCAAAAGAGATTTGGCAGAGATCCTTGCTGGCAATTTTCTAATATCTCTCAAAGTTCTTTTTATGCTACCTGGCCTATTCAGTTGTTTAGTTGCCGCCCAAGATGGGCCAGTCATTTTTATGATTGTTTTGCATTGCTTTTATCGTATCTTAGTTTTACACCTGTATGTATCTTTATGCACTCCATTGATATTTTATATGAGTGGGTACTGGATGGTAGGATTAGAATCCAAGAGATTAAAGTGATGAAATAATATAAAATCTCACCCTACAAAGGGAGGTTTCAGGATGGGGGAGGGAAGAGAGAGAAGAATATGGCCTGCAATTCATGTACCCTGTGCTTCAGTATTGCTAAATGTATGGACATATTAGTGACTGGATGAGGACCATTGGGAGCTCTATGGAAATATTTCTGAGCATTCTATGAATAGAATATAATAGCAATATTTTTTAAAAAAGAAAATTGCTATTTATTTTTAATTTCCCTGGAGTTTTGTATAAACAGCTCTTAGTCAAATTTAATTTATTCACACAAACACACATAAAAAGTCATGTGCATGCAGATGATGTATTACATACCAGGGTAATGTATAGTGAATTTTAAATTCACTTACTGTGGAGTGGGGGAAAGTCAGAGCACCATGTGCCATTGCCCACCGTAAAGGGACCACCATTACTTGTTCTGATACTTCAGGCTGACTATAGCAACAGAATGTGATCCAAACTCTGTTTTATTTTTGTCTCACCCCCCCTTTAAAAAAAAGCCCGTACAATTTCAACTGGGATTTGCTTATTTTAATCTTGTAAAACAACATATAGATGACTGATTCTCTGTAAATATTTATATAAATGTCCATCTTCTCATGGCCAAAAGCAGAGAGCAATGGCCTCTGAAAAACGGTATGCCTGCTGTATAGTATAATAAGAACTGAGCAGGTGAATTTGTGCTTTAAACTATTGCATTTACATGCATCTCTCCCAGGTCAAGATTAATTGTTTCAGGTATATGTTAGTCACATACTGTTGCCTTTTATGATAGGGATGATCATTGTGCATGAAGTGATGTATGTTGATTCCGTGGAATGTTCAAGATGGGTATGGCAAGGATATTACTCTTGAGCACTGAGCACCAGCACCTTTCTTCTTTTCAGATCTGTTGCCATAAGAAGAAAAGCATTCTGAAACTTCCACCCAGTAATAACTACTTGCAGGGACACAATCCTTTAATGTGGAATGGAAGTGCCCCTATCCTCCGCCAGTGGTTTCAGAGCAAGTGCAAGCCTGTCAAATATGGGTACTGTGGGACTTTTGCTTCGGTCATGTGTACAGGTAGGGGGCATGAATGGTCCTAACAGAAAAATGCTTTCTCAGGTGCAGATGGCAACTTCTAAATTCAACAAAAATTTAAATGGCGTCTGTTTGGTGTGGTGGGATGACACCCAGTAATGTCAGATAAAGAACTATCCCCCCTAAAAAAGAATGCTAGTTATTAAAAATGTATAGAGTAGAAAGGCTGAAATTCTACTATTTCTACATAGCTCATGTCAGTTGGTAGAGCATGAGATTCTTAGTCTCCGGGTTGTGGGTTCAAGCCCCACATTGAGCAAAAGATTCTTGAATTGCAGAGGGCTGGAGTAGATGAACCTTGTGGTCCTTTCCAACTCAACTATTCAATGATTCTACTATTTATACCCATACATGAACATTTAGTAAAGAACAAAAAACCAAGTCAGAGAGTATAGCAACATTATAAGGAGGAAAGGAAGTATAATAACAAAAGACATTTTGGAATTCAGGAGGGTAGTCTTCTCAAGGAATGGTGTGAGACTGAATTGTCCTAGTATTTGGTATGCAGTGCTCCCCATCATGCCCAGGAACATAGGAAGTGCTGTCTGTCAAGTCAGATCACTGGTCCAGCTGGCTCAGTATTGTTGTTGACATGAACTGATAGCAGGTCTCCTGCATTTCAAACAGTCAGTCAGTCAAATTTATTGCTTATAGCCAAAGGCTGCTGCAATGTATGCAATATCAGTCAATAGAATATATACTAATTTGATTCAAAAACTTAAAAACATTTATATTGTCAAAACATGACCTAATCTGCAAAAAGCTATAGAAACTCCTTAATATACAAATTGAAACATTAGACAATAAAATTTATAAGCTAAATTCACATAAAATAGACAATTATGTACAAAGTTTAGTGAGAAAAATACAGCTTGGTGTAGATGGGGTCAAATAAATTTATCTCCTTTACAGTTGATAGCTATCTCGGCTATATATTTTTTTTCTAATTTTCCTGGCGGCAGTTGCAAAAAGTGCTACACGCCAGGTCACATACTTATCAATGTCTGCAAGGAGATATAGAATCATGTCAGGAGGATTATGGCCAGGGGACCTTATCATTATAGGTGTCAAAAACCGTTCTCTTGCTTCAGTATATAAGGGGCAGCGTAAGATATAATGCGTAAAGTCCTCTAATTCAGGGACACTTCAAACAGGGCTTTCCCCCTACACTTCTCTGGAGATGTCAAGGATCAAATAGTTTTACATAAAAAGTATGTGCTCTACCACTGAGCTGTGGTTTTCCCTAAGCACAAGCGTGCTTGAAACACCATGGCTATTTCTGAGCAGAACATTAGTGTGCAGATTCCATGTGCTCCCAAAATGTACTGACTTTAGCATGATAACTGCATGTTCAAAGCTTCTCTCTAAAGCAGGGAATCAGGAATAGCCCAATTTGCAGTAGTTAAATTAACCTCATTAGATTGCAAATTTTGGTACCTTTAAAGGCCACAGGTTACTGGCCACTAGGGTACTCCTGGCATTGGGTTTGGATGAATCCTGAGACAAAGCAGAATGCCTTGGAGTTATTTTGAGCTTGTCAATGGCAAAGTAGGTTATCTGCTGAAAGCAAAAGGAATGCTTTTTAGCGTTCCATAGCCAGTGGGGGATGATAGAAAAAGTGAATGCAAAGACCAGGAAGAACTTCATTTATTTACTAGCTGCATTTGAAAACTTTTACAGGAAATATTCAAATAATATAAAAAGGCTGTGAACATTAGATTTACATTAAACAGGATAAAGATGAATGAATTGTTGAAGCAACTGGGAAATTAACTGTAAGATGTGCTGAATATTATTGGCCATTTGTATACTAGATAAAAGTAGACAGTAAAAAAATGTCTGCCATATACAGAAATGTCTGGGGTTACAGAAACACATTGCCAAAGCTGCAATAGTCTATTTCCTGCCCTGATGTTATAAAACCATCTGTGCTGCTGACATATGCTGCTGGTTAGATTGTCAAGTAAATATACAGAAATCAGGGTGAAGCGAATTCTTACTACAAAAGCCTTAGAATCCATTTACAAATATGTCACTGGGTCATATCATTTCCTAACACATTGGCTGTTCATAATAGAAGTAACATAGTAATCTGAGACTGTGTGCAACCCATACATTTAAAACACATTACTTTCACCAAAACATCCTGAGAATTTTAGTTTGTTAAGGATGCTAGGTACTGTAGCTCTGTGAGGGATAAACTACTGTTTCCGGGATTCTTTGAGGGAAGCAATGTGATTTCAATGTATGATGCATAAGCAGATTAAAGTTAAATAGTTCTCCACAAACAGGACTGAAGCCAAGATGGGCCAATGAGAAGTAAGAAGAAGGTATCTGCATGATATGAAGTAGTACAAACTTTAAAAACAAAGGGAGCAAAAATAACTCAATGGCCATGCTCAGTGACGTTGAACAGTCATAGGAAGTTGAGTATCAGTTAGAAAAGAAAACCAGAAAATTGAGAAGGAAACAACTGAATTATCCTGCTTGAGCCCTTATTAGGTTAGCCAATATTGTGTCATTCAGGAACTCATTGACCATGAGGTATGACAATGATGGGACACCACATTGTGATGACACCTCCTTGGCTACCCTTGGCTTACAACATCCTGGAAGAGGGCAGACTGGCTGGATCACTGAACAGGAGCAAACCTGTTAGTGGCTGAGCCTGTGTTGCAGTGGTATATATGTGTTAAAAGAGTCATACTCTTCCAACTATAGATACACTTGACTAGGCTTTCCTTGGAAATAACACATGCAGTTTGATAAGCAGGTGGTTTGTTGCCTGAACTTATGGGCTTTGTTGCAAATAGTTACGTGGTTTTTGCTGAGTTAGGAAGGCAAGTTTTCTATCTCAGTGTGTGTGTGTGTGCAGAACATATAATATCAGTGTTTGGGTATTTCATCTGTTTACAGTTATGAGATGTTTGGGAATCCCAAGCCGAGTCGTCACAGGCTTCTATTGCGCTTTGAATGCTGTTGATCCTCTCACCGTCCAGGAGGTTTATGACTATACAGGCAAAACTTTAAGTGGCAAAGAACACATCTGGTAAGTGAGCAACAACAGAGTTGTTGAAGAATAAAATCAGAGAATTGGAGAAGCTTCAGCATGAGAGTGACCAAGGATTCACAAGTATGGCTAATGATAACTGCACTTATGATGATGTCCACTATATCAGCTACAGTCTCCATTGTAAAATAATAAAAACATTCATTTTCTTTAAAAGTAGTTACTTTCTTGGAGCCCTAAAGTCAAATTAAAATTCTAAATAAATAAATGTAAATCCAAAAGCATTTTCTAAATGATACTCAATCTTTGTACTGGCATTCCATACAACATGGGATCTTTTATCCTAAATCATTACTGAATGATCAGGTTTCTTCAGAATTAGCTTTGTATTTCGACACAGGAAGTGTCTGAATTTCTGTATTCTACAGGGTACATCATTGCTGGAATGAATCTTGGATGGCCCGAAAAGACATAAACCAAGCTATGAGTGACTGGCAATATCTGGATCCGACACCTATAGAAACTAGTAAAGGTAAATGAAGCCTCTTTCACAGGGTTTTTTTTCATCCCAAACTCACCGGAACTCAGTTTTGGCACCTCTCAGGTGGGCTCCATTGCCATTATAAGAGAACAAGGGAGGCATTTATGGTGAGTTCTGGCACCTCTTTTTCTGGAAAAAGAGCACTGCTCTTTCCCAATCTAGAGATAATCATGTGTAAGAAGGCATTGCAAATTATTAGTAACCCGCAAATAATAACTGATGGACAAAGAGAAGAGAGCTGGATATTATCTCCTTTAGTATGGCAGATTGTAATATGCCTCTTCCTCTAAACTCTGAAGTGCTGGTGAGGCTGCATTAGTAGGCTGCATTAGTAGGCCCCAGTCCACACGGAAGGTGTCCAACCTGTAGCTGCATTGTAGGTACCATATGGTCTGGAACTCGGCAGCATGGGAAGGGTTAGTGCTTCAGTGGCTTCCATGCTGTCAGCCAGCATAATATGAGTATTAGTCCCACAAATTGAATTTGTCTCATACCAACAGCAAAAACAGGAGATTTAGCAAAGCAGTCATATATGGCTGGTGTTAAGCTTGGCAGGTAATAAGTTGCACGACTACGTTAGACTGCAAACATGATAGCCATTTCCCAGTATGGATAACCAGTATGGTGTCCCTCAGATGTTGCGGATGCTGGCTGGAGCTGATGGGAGTTGGAATCCACCAATATATGGAGAATACCATTTTGGTTATTCATGCCTACAAACTTTCATAGGAGGTTCTTTCTTTCTTTCTTTCTTTCTTTCTTTCTTTCTTTCTTTCTTTCTTTCTTCTTTCTTTGGATGAAGCTGGATTCTCAGGGGTTGCCAGCTGTATTGTTAAGATAAATACGGATTCTTAATGTTTAGGATAGTGATCAATCAGACTACCATTGAACATGTTTGTCTTTGTTTACCTTAGGATCAGTGTGCAGTGGCCCTATCTGGGTCAAAAGCATCAGAGATGGAGATGTGGATACTGATTCTGATGGCCCTCGTGTATTTTGTATGCTAAATGCAAGGAGTACAGCCTGGGTTTCTCAAGGTAGAGGCAAGAAGACAAAACTGCACTGTGATATCTGGCCTTGTGGGCAATGCATCAGCACCAAGAGTGTTGGCGGAGATTTGCCTGAGGATGTCACTGATGCTTACAAGCATGAATTAGGTAATGACCAATTTTAATGAGAATAACTGAAGTTTAACATGTTGATATAGTAAAGTGAAAAGTGATCATTGGAGATATGTTATTTGCCCCCAACCAGGTTCTCTGCAAGAGAAAAAAGCCTTCTATAAAGCTTGCAGAAAAATCAATTCTCAATACCTCAATGCTCCCAATTCTGAAATCGACAAAGATATAGCATCCCAGAGAAACAAAACTTTGAAAGACACTGGGGTGACAATGAAATTTAAGATGGCTAATTGTCCCCTTTATGGTCAAGATGTTCAAATAAAGTGGATGCTTGAAAACTTGTCGAATGAGGCTAAAGACAGGAAATTCAACCTTTGTGCTCAGGGAATGATATATAATGGCTGTTCACTGGATCCAGTCTGGAAAGACTGTGTGCCTGTTACACTTGGCCCCAAAGAAGGTAAGTCTTAACTATTTATTTAGTTATTTATTTATTTATTTAATTTATATATACTGTCTTAATGCAGCATATTAAAATAAAAATATATTATAAAGCCCAGGGACAATTAAAAAATCTTCATCTGACACTCAATGTTTTGGTGTACAACAGGCATGTTTTGGGACTACAACTCCCATCATCCCTAGCTAACAGGACCAGTGGTCAGGGATGATGGGAATTGTAGTCCCAAAAACATCTAGTGGGCCAAGTTTGGCCATGTCTGGTGTACAGCAACCCCCTGCTGCCTCAGTTTAATTAGCCAAAAGCCTGGAAGAAGACACATGTTTTTACCTGGTACAAAAAGATATGTTATGAAGGTGCCAGGCAGTCCTTCCTGGGGAAAGATTTCCACAAGCATTCCATGAACACGATGCTACAATCAAGCAGCCTCTTACCTATCTCGTATCAGATGGTAGGAGTACCTGGAAAGACACATTGAGATTTTTGTAATGCAGCACCCAAATGTATGTTTGGAGAGCAAATGAGGATTCAAATTTAGATAATTTGAAATCATGCATTTGGACCCGTCATTTGGTGACATTTACTGAGAGCTATTAATCTGAAATATAAAGTGAAAAAGAGCATTGCACTCCCACAAATTAGCTGTACATTCTGGTAATATAGATTTCACTTGGAAAACATGAACATGCAAAAACTGCTTTGGAATTGCATGTAAAACACTCTCAAGTTTTCTCTATGTTTCAACAAATAGCTGTATCAGATCTAGAGAATGTTCACCATCTAACGCTCGGATCCTATAATCATTACTTGTAAAGAAATCCTACTAATTTATAGAATTTACATTTAGGCAACTCTGCTTAGGCTGCAATTTATGACAGAGTCATCCATGCTTTATACAGCAGGCAGCAGACCCACTTGTTCTACATTATTGACAATCATTTAATAATCTATCACTTGAACATTTAGATTTGGTTCCGTAAGCGATAACATGTTTCACAAAATAACCTTCCTCAAACTGGTGCTCTCTAAAGTACGATTCCCATAAGCCCCATCTAGCATGTCTTGGATGACAGTAATTGTTTTCAGAAACATCTGGAAGACATCAGGTTGCAGAAAGCTCAAATGATTTGACTTTTATGTTATTGTTTATGTTTCTCTTGTCACAATTTCCCTCAAAATGACTCACTGATGAGACTCAAGCCAACCATTAGAATGGAGAGGAATTCTTGAAATTCTCTAGAATGGAAATTCTGACTCTAAAAAGTATGTTCAATACATTTTGCCTTACAGTGAAGACGATTAAGATAGAGATACCCTATGAAAGTTATGGGTCACACCTTTGTGATTATAATATTATGAGGCTAGCAGCTGTCTCAATGCCAGAGCCTAAGGGAGAAATCATGATGGTGGAGAGAGATATCCTGATTGACAGCCTTCCCATTGAGATAAAGGTAAAGACCATTTGACCCTTACAGTGAACAAGCAATGGCAGTATCAGACAATTCGTCAAGAGGATAACTGAAGTCATGAGGATAACTGAAGTCAATATCTGCTTACCTTGGAGGAGAGAGCATAAAATATATATAATATTTTTGTGGCATTTGCTTATTTTTAATTTGTAATGTCTTCATGGTGCTAAATAGTTCATATTTCAATATTGTATGAACTGCTCAGAAGTCTATTGACTGAGGGGGAAGGGTCAGCAAATGGTCTAAATTACACACACACACACACACACACACACACACACGAAAATCATACCAAACAGCAGATCTGCCATTCCACATCTTATCCCTATACTGTTGGATCCCCTTCATCTCTGTGTGAAGCTCCAAATCTTTCGTGTGTGTGTACACAAACACAAACCCACAGAGAACAGTAGTGGCTCATGTGGTGTGGCAGAACCATGAAATTGCCCTTCTCTTGCCAGTATCGCTACACCTTACCTGAATGGGGATGGGACAGGGCAGAAGCCATGCAATGAACCAGCAAGAGCACCAATTCATGCAACCTATCTTCACTCTGTACCAGCACTATCAAGGTAGCTGTACCTCACAACACTGGCTGCTTACCCGCCATACACCTCCCTTTAGCTGGAGAGGGTGGAATCCAATTCTCTTTCCTAAGATGCCTTTTCCATTCTAAACATGCAAGATATATCACTACATCAAGATACCCTTTCCTAACACTTATCTCCTGCAAAAACTCACCAATTGACCATTAAGGATGATTACCCAGTAATATACCTAATGGTCAGCATTAGCAATATAGTAATTAGTATAACAATGTAAAAACAAGTTAAAAAAAATAAAAAATAGTCTAGTAGCACCTTATAGACCAACTAAGTAAAAGGTGCTACTAGACAATTTTTTATTGTTTTTATAATTTTAAAATTTATTTTGACTGCATCAGACCAACATGGCTACCTACCTGAATGTAAAAACAAGTGCTCATTTTTTCCAAATAGGTTTTAAACTATCCGAAATTGAATGCACCATGTTCAGCTGAAGTCACCTTCTCTAATCCCCTCAAAGAAGATCTCAAGAACTGTGTGCTGCACTTGGAGGGTTATGGACTGTTTGGTGAGCCGATCGCTACTGAGTAAGTTAAGCCACAGTTTTGGTTTGCATCTACCTTGAGGTTATCTGTGGTTCCTGTTTCCACCTTCACTCTTGCTGTCAGCTATGAAGTTCCACACTGTAGCGTTAATGACAATGTTCACTGAGCTTGCGTGCATCCCATGCATTTAAAGCACATGATTTCCCCCAAGGAATTCTGGGAATTGTAGTTCACCCCTCAAAGGGCTACAGTTTGTAGCACCTTTAACACACTATGATTCTCAGAATTGCTTGGGGGGGGTCATGTGCTTTAAATGTAGTGTGTAATGTCGTTCGTGACATCCTGTAGTCAAAGAGGTCAACTCATTAATCAACCAAAGGTGGTTTGCCTAAATCATTGCATGTACAAATATCATCACATGCACCCTCTCTCCTTTATCTCTTCTGCAGACTGGGAACACTGGCTGCTAATCACAAGGCACAAACGTGTGTTGAGTTTACTCCATATAGGAATGGCAAACACTGTTTCATTGCCAATGTCAGCTGCAACAAGTTCTGTAACTGCAAAGGATATGCCAACGTAGACATGGGGAATCCCCCACCAACCTCTGGAGAAGGAGGAGCATAAGTAATATAAGAGGGAAAACACTGAATCTGTAAATAATAAAGATATGTTTTGTAGTTCTATCATAAGGAGTTGGATAATCTCAAGGTGTATGGTTTGTATCTTATATGTATCTCACAGAACAAAATAACTTTTTAGGCTACCCTAAATGTCAAAGGCCACTTTACAAAACTCTACTGACCATTCCAGAAATGTGTTTTGACAATTGCTGGATCATTATTTGTTCAAATACAATTTGCAAATTTTCCTGAGAATACTGAGATATTTCCACATTTTGGAACTGACTTGTAATATATAAAATTACACATGTATTTGAAAGATGGTTATAAATCCAGACATTCTTTAAGATTCTAGATTCCAGTGATGGAGCAGGGTATAGTTTGATATATTTGTATTCTTGCATATATTTTAAATGCCCTTCTACTGATGTCAAGCTATATAGCAAACCCAAATGAAGTAAATGCGAATTTAACATGAATTATGAAGTATTGTATCCCTTGCTAGCTCCACTTCACAATTTTACATTAAAATGTTACCTTCGGGGTCTCGGAGATACACAAAGTTCAGAGGAGAAGATCTAAGACACACAGAGCTCTCAACTTGGAGCTCTACACAAATAAAAATAGGTTAGTATTATTCCTGTGATCACCTTCCACAGTCACATTGAAGACATTTGTAGCTTTGGCTTTTGAATTGCTGCATCTCTAATTGTACAATCACCAGAATGGAAATGATACCTGCTGCTAGGAATCACAGGTAGACAGAGTGCTGTTGCGCTCATATACAGCTTGCAGGCTTCCCACAGGCATTTAACCAGCCACTGTGAGAACAGGATACTGCGGAAGAAGTTATTCATGTAGTGGCTAGGATCTTACTAGCCCAAAAATGGATGGATGACAAGATACCAACGGAGGAAGAATGGCAAGTTAAACTTATGGAATACACAGAAATGGTGAAACTTACAGGAAGACTTAGACACATTGAAAATAGGGACTTGAAAAAAGACTGGGAACCGTTTATGTTGTATCTACAGAAACATTGTAAAGAATGAACTCACTAGCAGGGTTTGAGTAAACACTTACAACTAAGAAAACAGGTGTACAGGTTAAGAAACAATAATATGCAAATTAATCAAGTGTAAGATATAATTTGAAAGAAAATTTGGTATTAAAATGATAAGAATTAAGAGTATTTAGCAAGAAGATTATAAAAAAGAGGATTAAAAATTAAGCAGAAGTAGCTCATATTAAAAGAACCAGGAGGGGAAGTTGAGGGAGGTCGCAAGGTAGAGGGAGTTCTATTTTCTTCTTCTTTTTTATTTTTCTTTTATATGATAAATGTGTTGAATGTTAAATTGTAAAAGCAAATAAAAATTTATATATATATATATATATATATATATATATATAAAAGAGAACAGAATACTGGACTAGATGAGCCATTGGCCCAATTCAGTAGGCTGTTCTAATGTTATGATCAAAAGGCTGCCTGTGTCACAACTTTCTACAGTCACATTCGAAATTCTCTCTCGATTTGACCCATATAATCCAAACTATATTGTGCCACAAGGAGAGAGTAAACCTGAAATGGTTTTAGCTGAACAAATAGTTTCAGATGGCTCAGGGCATGTTTCTCATTCCTGATTGTGTCTGCTTTTTAGGCTGTTGCAAATAAAGATACATTAAGGATGATGCAAACGCCAGGCAGTCACTCCAATGAATGAAATGCTTAACTAAATTGCATAGAGAACTAAATTGTAGCATTACAGGATTGTTGGTCTGCTAAGAGTTGACTTGACCCTTGATCAAACAGTCTGCCTGCAATCTTATGCACACTTTCCTGGGAGCAAGCCCACTCAAAAACAGGAGAATGTATGCAAGCATGCATAAGACTGCATTGTAAAGTACCCTTAAAAAGGTAAAGGGACCCCTGACCATTAGGCCCAGTCGTGGCCGTCTCTGGGGTTGCGGCACTCATCTCACTTTATTGGCCGAGGGAGCTGGTGTACAGCTTCCAGGTCATGTGGCCAGCGTGACTAAGCCGCTTCTGGCGAACCAGAGCAGCGCACGGAAATGCTGTTTACCTTCCTGCCGAAGCAGTACCTATTTATCTACTTGCACTTTGACATGCTTTTGAACTGGTAGGTTGGCAGGAGCAGGGACCGAGCAACAGGAGCTCACCCCGTCACGGGGATTCGAACCGCCGACCTTCTGATCAGTAAGTCCTAGGCTCTGTGGTTTAACCCACAGCGCCAACCGCGTCCCTTAAAGGACCCTTAGATTGCCCCTTTCTTAAATCACTGCAATGCAATCCCAGTTGCATGGATATTCCTAATTGGCGGCCAAAGCAAGTTTGAGTGCAAGATAAATAAATCCACAGGAAGCAGTTCCTTTTTTATTTTGGCTTGCAGACTGACTAATATATGTCCAGAGAAAAGCTGCTTTGGGGTTTTTTGGGTGTTGAGTTTGCTTTGAGGTTAGTCTTCCCTGTGGTGTGCTGGCATCTGCTCACCCACGATACCTGCTCAATTGTACATGCACAAATAAAAAGATTATTATAAAAACTCCACAAGTATCCAGTGCTCTCTTTTCTAAAAGAAATGAGCACTGTAAAGGCTGCACAGAATTTCCCACTGTGAAGAAAACAAAGAATAAGAAACAGTGTCATTTTCAGACAATAACAGTTTCCAAGTCTTAGGGTTGCCCATTCATTTGTGTTCTATCATGGTAGCTACTTACAATTTTGTCTTGGCTTCTTGTTTGTCACATTCTGCTCTGTCATGCACTGAATATTATTTGCTCCTTAAAATCTCCCTCCCATTGTTTTCAAATATAATGCACCCATGTCCTTTGCATGAAAATTAAAGGTTTGAAAAAAATGCTACCTCTTTTCAGACTGAATGCTCTTTTCCAGTTAAGCTTACATACTGCATACACATGTGTGACCTCATTCAGAAATGAGAAACCAGAGAAGTAATGCACAGGGATCGGGGATGCCTACAGAATTACCATCATAAGGAGCAAGATTACCCTTTCATCCTTGCCAAGAATTTGATTAGTTTGCCCTGTTGTAATTAGTTAGATGTGATCAATAGCCTTTTATTTATTGCCGTTCAGTGAGTTTCACTGTGAAAATTTCCTTTGCATGAAAGAGAATAAAGATTCAAAACATGAACAGCAATTCATGCTCTCTTTAGAGATCTTCAAAGGTAGAAGCAAGCCACCCACAGGGACTTTGAACTGAGGACTTTCACTTAGTTCTCACTACTAAAATGTTCATTTCCCCCCTCATTAAAAGTTAGCAACGATGAAGCAAATAGTTGCAGTTTGAGACCACAGCGATGCCTATACAGACCAATTCAATCCATTGAAACTGGAGACTCTCATACGATTGGCAATGACTTTGCGGCAAAGCGTAGTATCCATAGGGAAGAATATCTGGTAAAAAGTAACTTTTCCCTGTCCTTTCCTTTGGAAACTTTACCAACTAATGGGAAGAGCTCAAGCTTTTCTCAAGATAGAAACAGGTTTTTTAAAATACAAAATGAAAGCATGAAGGTTCTGGCTGCTGAATTAAGAGCCAGACGTCAAATGCTACTATTGCACTATGAAAGAGTAGACGGGGGACGGGGATCTGGGTAGATATTTATAAAACAAAGACCTGTGATCTAGATATCTCATTCTTACTTCATTCCCTTAATTTTTTTCTAACCTATCAAAGTGAATATGACATTGAGAAGTTATAATAACTTTATGTTGCTCTGGCTTTCCTGGTAAATTGAAGATTGCGGAAGATTATTCGTCTGGAAGGGAAAAACCCCATCCCTGTGAAACAATGCTCCCAGCAAAGGCAATTTTTCAGCAGTGCTCATGTGGTTATCCTATTAGTTTCTTCTCTTCAATAATGTATTAAGTGTGTAAATAACTGCCAGCAGAATGGACCTGTGTTTCTTAAGTATTTTGAAGCCATATCCTCTAGCATCTCATTACCTTAGTAAATGGTTCAGAGGAATGTGGTACTTAAACTGTGCAGTGAAAAGGGGTCATTGCTGTCCCCAAGGCTTTTCTGAGCAAGGCACTAATGAAGGTGTTATAATCCTCGAGTAGAGCACCTGTTATCCTTTCACCTAAAGAAAAGAAGCTGGTTGTTTGGAAAGAACAGTGGAGTTCAACTTTCCCACCACTTTAGCAAGCAGACAATAGCCGGGTAATGGGAAAACTCAAGGTGATTATAAGAATGCTGCTCAGGAAGGCAATATCTACAAATCTTTGCTTTGACATTCCAGAAATGAATAGCTCTGACAACTGCAAGCTTATTTCCAAACCACAACAGATTAGCTGTTTTCACTTACTTCATCAAAGCCTGAAAATGGATCTGACTATAGCCTCTTTCATCCTGGCCCTGCCTCCAAAGTTGCTTGGCTCCCCATCCTCTGCTTCTGCAGGACGGCAATCCAGGCATGTAGATGACTGGGCTCGACTACATCCTTGTCTTTTAGCCTGCATGTCCATAACCTCATCTAATACAGGGTCATTATGCATGGGGGGAAACTGCATGAGCTTGGAGCACAGCACAGCTTCTTGCATTTGGGTTATAGTTTAGGGGGTTTTGTTGAGGGTTCTGTTGCTGTTAGAATTTGTCTAATCCACTTTTGAAGCCATCCAAGTTTGTGGCCATCACTGTATTTTGTGTGAGCGAATTCCATATTTTAACTATGCACAACGTGCACCTAATCCACACACGAATCTGTGAGATGTGGGTCGCATCATTTTATAGAAGAATTTGTAAAGACTGGATTTCTTGAGCATCTCTAGTTGTGAATCCCATCTTCACATCGGCATTCCTTTCCTAGCACAGATAGTAGCCCAACCCTTTACATCTTCATTATTTTCTGCAACCACTTGTAACACTTCCTTCCTCTAGGCTCTTTATGTCTAAAACCCAACTTTGCTTTCCTCATCAGTTCTGAACTTTTGCTCCCTTTCCCCTTTTGTTCCCTTTTT